CAAATATATTTATTTAAATTAGAATAAGAGTCGTTCATAAATGCTGGGCACGTGAGAGTTAAAAATGAACGAATTTATACCACTTTGACTTTGAAGTGGAAACCTAAAAATAAAATAAAAGAATAATAAGCAGATTTAAACATGAAAAATTTAGCCTAATTATAATAACTTATACATGTTTCTACAAAAAATAATGTGTATAATAATATATTCGTCCTATACTTAAGTACCCACAGAAATGTCGCATCTGAACATATTAATTTCATAATCTATATACCATGACACGAGATGGCGTCCTAGGAATAATTTGTTTTATTATTAATCTATAATACTTTTTTATTGATTTTTTAATTTTAATTTAAAGATATATCTAATTAATAGATTAATCTTATTAACCGATGAAAAGTAATTCCTTGGTTTTTACTGACATTTCTTGAATTATTTTGTGCAATATCTAAGTACACACGAGGACATATTTTTGTCAAGAGATTTTGTTTTAAATCAACACAACGCGTGACAACTCTACAAGCGCCTAGCGAGTGACTGATTAAAGTGCGGTGCATGCATCGCAGTTGAGTGGAACAGAGTAGCTGAATGCAGTATCGCCTCTAGTACGTAGTACATAATAGCTCAATGGACAAACATGATGTGCTCCTTTATGGGGAAAGGGGTTCAAAATAAATCATAACTTTATAGCATTATGTATTGTCGTTAATGTATTTAAACAATCATGAGAGTCGTTTCAAATTTTTTTATTAGAAAATACCTTTGGACTTAAAAATCTGAATACCAAAGTGCTTTTAAATGGGCAAGAACTGAACCCTGTCGATTTCATTATTTTACTTGGAATCACTCTCTTCATCAGTTTCAGTGGGGCCCCATATATCTAAACTAGCAGCAGATTAAGTTCCGCAGCTTTTGTTGTAAAAAATATTAGAGGTCTCACAAGTGTCGAGAGAGCTAGATTAGTTTATTTCAGTTATTTTCATAGCATAATGCCTTATTGGGTTTTGCTATGTGGAAATACTGCTGATTTAGTAACTTGTTTTGTTTTATAGAAGAGGGCCATAAGAGCTATTTGCAACCTTATACATTTAAAGAAATAAATATTTTAACTTTGGCTTATCAGTATATTTACGAAAGTTTATCGGATGTCCACAAAAATAAAAATAGTTTTCATAAAAAAAGTGATGTGATACCTGGTGAAGCTGGTGATACCAGCTTGTCGACTCCACAGAGTCAGTAATTGATATAGTGTGTAGGGCAGTTATCGTACCTGCAAGTGGACCGTGACTAGATTAGCCTAATCTCCTTCCTATTTTTGGTGTAACTCTGCCTTAGTGGATTAGTTGTGCCATTTATGATGATTATAGTAGGATGTACATCCGACTCTATGACCATCGAGAGCAAACATCACTGCAGCGATTGAAATTGTGTCTACTGATATCCTTGGGGCTACTTTTGTGTATACAGGAACTGATGGTTTAGGTTTGGAACCTTGAACTTCTGTGATCAATTTCGTAGCACTCTAAAATGGGGATATTTAACATTATTTTTTATAGTTTAAGGATGACAAACGAACACACAGTCCACCTGATGGTAAGTGGATACTGTGACAATACAAATGCATTGTCACCCCTGAGATCTGGTTAGAATGCCTTGTTTCCAGTAAAAGGGGTGTCTCGTTCATTACACTCATCATACGAAACACAGCAGCATTATGCTGTTATTTTACTTTTTTGTGGTCCTTTCCTAGTTGGGCCGACCCAGCCTTAATATAACTACAGCGTTGCTCTACCACGTGTTTCTCGATATGCTAGTGGTAGTACTCGCGAAAGAAATAAGTATAATATAATAAGTAGTGCTTTGTCGCAATTGGCTGCGGCGACGCGGTGGTCAAGCATTTGTATGATCTACAAAATAATTGTTCGTTACACTCTCACTGAATATCAGCGTGAAATAGCAGCTTTTTCTGATATGTTTCTTATGGTGAGTGTAGAGAGACCGGAGACCCGGAGACCGGAGAGAGATGACAACGTGTCTGTATTTTGTATTCTAATCCAGGATAAATGTAGTTTCATTCACTATCAGGTGAACTCACCTGCCTAGGAGTGCACCTGGCTAGATACCACCATCTTACATACTAGGGCCGAAGCAGATGCAAAGGTAAAATTTTTTGCTAGCATCATAAACAGAGCGAAGTAAAAATCTAAAGCGCGCGCTTTTGCTTTACATGTATTTTCCCATAGACAATTTAGTTTTTGGTTATTTTTTAATATCTTTTAGACAAATTCAGATTTTTATTGTTTACAAACCTTGTCCGCGTTGAGCTACAAATATTTCCGAAAAAATTATGTAAATTGGCCTACGGGTTACGTAGGAGATAAATTTCAAAGAATCGTTTTCTTGCGCCATGGGAGCTTCGCTTATCCATTAAGGCTAACAAATATCAGTGCTTGCACTGTTATGTTCCGGTCTGAAGGGTTTAGCATTCACCATCTCAGTGCTCAGAAATGGCAACGCATCTATAACCCTTCTTTTTAAATTGCCTGCGGTTGGATTTTCTGTTCGTATGTCACTTCAGTTTTAATTTAATTTAAACTTTTTTTTAAATTTACCAATAGATAGGAATTTAATCACGTGAGTTCGGTGTTCGTTATGACTGGGAATTTCATTATTGTCTCTTAATTTTATCACTCTATCTAATAAAAAAGCAAAACTTACTATTGACCCTACAGGTCATCAATGCAACTTCCCGCTAATTTCAAATGCAAAGCGCTCCAAGCTCTACTAGTACAGTAAAAATAGAATTTAACTTTGCACTAAATTTCCAATCTAATTTTTTATGATTTATATATTATATTATATATTTATAATATATTATATAATATGTAAATATATATTTATAAGATTTATTATTTTAGGATCACTTACTGAAAATAAAATCACAAAATGCTAATAGATCCAGGTGGTGCTTATAAAACCATCTTGCAAAAACGTTTTCAGTCGATATCTTGGAAACTATGCACTATAAAGCAAAAGTTATAGAAACCATTATTGTAGAGAATAAAATTTTGCATCTTTTGTTTCCAGTAAGTCTTTTTTTGTAAAACTTACCGTTTACGATTTATAGTCCATTTAATGAACCGGTTTTTCTATCGCGGCCGATAACTCTTGCAATATTAGATTAATCAATAAAATGTATTCATCCATTTTCAAAGATCAGTTTACTCTCTACAATTTTTGTTTCAAACTTTTTTTCTAATGTCCATACTTTTTGAGTTATAGGACGTTTAATGGTGGACTACCGGGCGTAAAGTTCAAAATTTCAAGATACGCATAGCTGCCACGTCACAACCGCTCGGCGGGTGACGCGGTAAGTAACTTTACGCCCAGTAGTCCTCTCAAACCCGCGTAAAATAGTAGCTTAATACTGGTGTGTTTCGTATGGTGAGTGTAGATATCCGGGGACCCTTTTTTAACTGGAAACGAGGCATTCCGTCTTAGTTCTCCTAAGGGGTAACAACGCATCTGCGTTTTGATTCTTAATTGAGGATTAGATGTCTATGGGTCACAGCATCCACTTATCATCAGGTGGACTCTGTGCTCGTTTATCACCCTTATTCCACAAAAAGGCGACCTTTCTACACTTGGCTATGGTCCTTGAGTTTGGGGGAAATTGATGAGAGGAAATAAAAAAATTGAAATAATAATTTAATACTTTTATACTTACTGGTACTGTTAGATACTATCAGAAAATATTCTCGGTGTTCTGCACTATTTCAAAGTAGTGCGTTCCTCATGTCTAATAAAACAGTCGTCTGCGAAATGTTTAGAAAAAAAAGATAATCATTTTGTGTCGGACGCCTATTCACAATTTTTGTGATATTAGGCCATAATTTTAGTCTAGGTTCAGTGGGAAACCTGTTAATTAATAAACATTTGATAATTATCTGTTGTTGCCGACTTTGGCTGTTAGCAAAGTAGAAAAGAACATCGATAAGAATTATACACAAGGAACTTGACAACCCTATTGAATTTTATTGTTTTCAAAACTCAGTAATATAAAGCCAAACATGTTGGTAATTACGATATTAGGATAAGTAACAAATTTTTAAGTACCTACTCGTATATTATCAAATACTTTTAATTTGTTTGATATTAGCTGCAAATTCACTTACTAATGGATGTCATACCATCTTCCTTTTGGTAACGAGTATTACATATTACGCACACGTAAAGTACTTTAATTTTGTAGTTTAAAATGTTGAAATAAAGAAATACGATTTAAATAAGACTTAAACTTTTAGTTTCTGGTACGAAAAATGGTGGCCAGTCCAGTTTACTTGTATATATAGAGGTCGGAGGACGCGGTTTTTAAGCACTCATGGTTAACTTATTACATCAAAAACGATTCAAGAAAAGATTTCGAAGTATTTGAAAAAAAGTTTTTACAAAATTTTTCCTTAAAGATTTCTCTTCAACGCATCAACATATGCATAATTATAATTAAAAAGTCTCAACATGCCGTTATCTTGGGGGGAGACCCTATCTTTATAGTACATTCTTCCCACGTATTAGTCTCATTTTAATATGTAATTTGAAATATAAAAAATGATTCTTTTATTTTCAAGCAACAATAGCACTGACTGATAACTTTTTTACTCATTAATAATTCCTGTCACAACAGCACATTATCTAAATTATTATTTTCTAAGAACATTTTATTATTCTGAAAAACGAGATAGAATCTTACCTAAAAAGATGGAAGTTCGAAAAATCTTATAAGCCATTACAAGGTGGTAGGGAGGGTCAAAAATCGCCAAAATAATCCTTACATAATTAATGAATGCCCCTAAGGCGTAATTCTTTTCCATCCGATTTAATACTTTAGCCATGCAGGCGGCATATTCTGGCTGTTGCTGCAGCGTCACACTACAAAATAATATTTCTTAATTGCAATTGTTAATATGTCAGTTTCAGTGGCAATTTAGTTGGTAATGACACTACGCACTCCACGTCGTCGTATATCACCCCGCACTAAACGCCGGTATCGCGCCATTAAGGAATTCTTGCGACGAGCTCTGGGTACGGACTTAGACGCTATCAATTATATACGATAGATTTAAAAAAAACAACAATTCTTCTTCTTTATAACCAGTAAAATTCCACTGCTGGACATAAGCCTCTAACTTTGTAGGGCGGATTTGCTTTAATCGCTTCGTTTGTCGATCTAAGAATTCTATTTTTTTTTATAGATTTACCGATCAATTATATAAAACATGATTTAACATGTTTCAGGCACAACGTCACAGCCAGATACTAAAACAAACTCAAATATTTCAGTTAGTGTCTCAGATCTAAAACATAAAATTGTAGGTATAGAAAAACAGCTAGACCAAGTCAGCCAGCACTGTCGGAACCTAATAACTGTTGATGACGGCACAAGGTGCGAAAGTACTACAAGAACTCTACAAAATAATGAAAGCAAAAATAACATTCAAAATATTCCAATAAAGATAAATCCCGTTGAAACAAAAGTTTTGTACAAAACATCTGAAAATTTGTATAAAAATTGTGAAGAGAGTGACTTTACGAGTAGGATTTCTAATTTATACAATGAACAGTCATTAACTCATCAAACAAACAAATCAGCGCCTAAAATTGATTGTCATAATGTTAGAAACAAAAAGAAAATTAGAAAATGTGAAAATGAATTACATGTAGTGAATGAAATCGTCTCTAATTCAAAAAGACGGAAAAAAGCGTTGACTTTCGATAATAATAAACCACCCTTTTTAACAGCAAGCTACTACTCGTCTATTGACTTACTAAAACCAGATATTCCTACGCGAAGGCACGAAAAAAGACGACCAAAAATTGAATACAATGAAGAAATTATTAAGAAAGATTCAAATAAAAACAAAGAAGTTGAAGAAAGAAACAATATTGAACTCATACTGAGAAAGAACGATGAAAGAAGTAAAAGAAAAAGATATAAATCAGACAAAAAAGAGCTTGATAAAGATTTCATAGCTGATATTATTAGACGGCAGTACAAACCGGTTAAATTATTTAACAAAAGAGAATCTGATCTCAGCCAATTGTCGGCTCCTCTTTGTCGTGATCAAGACTTCTCTGTGTATGAAAATATACAAGAAGGCAGTGAATTATGTTCGTGTTGTTTTGATGAGCCCATAAATAATGAACTGGTAGGGTATAGACGTAGAAGTGATAGTAGTGATGTGAGAAGTATATGTGACACAAGATTGTACAGCTCTAAAAGATATCCACGTCTCAAACAAAATCGTAGAAATCAGGAATATTATAATGACTCTCTATATGACCTAGTTCCAGTTAAAGAAAAATCTAGTCCAAAATCTAGAAGGAAGTTTGCCAACGATAACATAATTTCATATGATCACTATAAAGAAGTTCCTCCGTCGCCACGGTCGTTACGTCCAAGACTGAACCTTAAAGCACAACACTATGATGAATTGGATAATTCTAGCCCATATGTTACCCACTCCCATCAAAAGATGTTATTAGAAAAATCAAAAACACAAAATATTAATAAAAATTTAAAAAATCACGACTTATCCGATTTTGTAATCCCTGAAAACAATGAGGTCTTAATACAGACTTCTCCGAGCCTAGAGCCACCGAATTTTCTAAATCAAAATGATGTAGAAGATGAATCTTTGCAGTATCCATCATTTGCACAAAACCCAACAAATTCGCTAGTAAATGATTTATCATTTAACAAAACGCAAGAAATAGATATTTGTGTTGATAAAACAGACAAAGCTCTTTGCGAAATCAAGGATATACTTCAAACTTTTTTGGAAGAAATGAAAAAAGAAACAACAAGTGATAAATCTGACGCGTTTGATAAGACTTTAAATAAAAGTGAAAATCAAAAACAAGATATTCAAAAAACTAATGTTCCGATGTTCCCAAATAGTAACCATAGTTTCCACTATACAAATGAACCGTTTGCCGGTAAACCATGTGTACCAGCATTTCCAAATGCTTGTTGTTATCCTTTACTTCCAATTTGCCCTATAAATTGCGTACAAAGTGGCTATGTTATGCCAAGCCAAAGTTACACTTGTGCCGCTTGTAATACTCTTCCTAAAGAAGCTGTTGGCCAAGAAAAGGAAGTAACAATAAACTTAGACACTGCTAAAGTCAAAAATGATGAAACTCAGCAACTTATAAAAGAAATCTATAATTTTGTAAAACAGAGTCCAAAACCTAAAGTAAATGCAGAATTGCGTGACGTTAGCATTGAAAATATTGACGCATTGGAAGAAAAACCAGAAACTAAATTATTAACATCGAGAAGTGTGGGTGCCGGCTCGAATATGTCCGTACATGACGTTAAAGTCGGCACTTCTCAAATGAAATGCTACTCCAAAAGCTGTGAGGCTTTTGGATCAAAGAAGGCTGACGACAATTTATATAGTAATGGTAGCTATTCGGATACAATCTTGGAGAAACTTAGTCTAGAAGCAGCTGCAGCACAAGAATCTGACTTTGATTTCAGTAGTATTCTAGACATGAAAGTGAAGGTATAATACAAAAGTAGTGTTTATCTAAATAAATATTCTCTAACACTGAAAACTCATTACAAAACTAATAAAAACAAACTTTATATTCTAGCCCAGAAAACAGAAGACATTCTCCAAAGTTTTACGGTCATTTGGCAGTTTATTGAAAAAGAGAAAAAAAGACGTGATAGAAGAACTAAGTGAGAGTGAGAGTACTGTTGAAGAAGACATGAACCCAATTTCACCCTTCAGACAGCAGGTGACAAATTATATGATGCGCGGCGAGGAGTACTACCAGCAACCACCCTTCCCACCCAAACATGCGTATCAACCTAGACCACCTGAATGTTCCTACCGGCAATCAGTTGGACTAGAGTCGAGGCATGGTTATCAACATTTACCACCCAAACATGCATTTGATCCCTATGCACCAATGATGCACCATGGCTCGCAATATCAAGGCACATCACCCTCTTATACTACTTCTTTCGATAACCATTATAATCAAATTCCCCCTCAAGTTCCCTTGTGCCTAAAAGAAATTGAAGTAAAAAGTATCGGCACGCAAAGCGAAAAGAAACAGTCCTTTTTTTGAAACATTTAAACGCAAGATAGCTCAGCAAAAACAACAAATGGACCCACTAGAAGAAGCACATAAAACTGTAGCACAGATGACTAAGAAGCCAGGTATAATAAATTGGAAAAATTTACACGAGAAGGCAATGCAGACTAATGCGGCAAATTTAAACTTCTCTTACAAAAACACCCAGAAGCAACTGGCCGAAACTGATATGACTATAAGAAACGCAATGGTAAAAAGGTTCTTTTATAAACGTAATCCATTTTCCTCTAAGAACCCAATAGTTCAGACGCTGCTGGGTAAAGACAAACCGATGGAAGAACCAATTAACCTGCTTCGTGGAAGAATGTTTGTATAGGTGCCGTCTACGTATGGTGATGTGTTAAATTTTGGTACATCTGTTGTTAACTTTATTTTGTGAAGTGTAAACGAGTAGAAAGAATTATTTATATTTTAATACATGTTACTATGTTTTTATCTTCTTTTCTTTATATTTCAATGTATATAACTAACTTCGATCGACTTTACTAACGCAAGGACAACTGTTCAAAGTACTCTACGCATTAAGTTATATGTACTACGACGACTAGCTACCAGGCCAGGCTAACGTATCGTAGTCTCGGGATGCAAATACCAGCTTTCTTAAAAATAATTATAATTCCGCCTCCAGGTCCTTCAAAAGTGTCATTGCCAAAACAAAGTTAGAGCATGCCGTCAGAATTGGCGAAACACTAATTCGACTTCCTTCGGGAACACATGCAATCTGGTCTCTCGCCAAGGCTGTCCAGGGAACTTCTGTCAGCCATCTCTTCCATCTCTGCACAAGAAGGACGACTCACTGGCCCATGCCGCAAGGGGCAAAGCCGATATACTGGGCTCTCTCTTTGCGTCCAACTCGACTCTTGATGACTCTTAATGATTCTACGGAGTGAGTACTCCATGCAGGATTCGCTGTGTACGTCTGTTTACTGATGGCGTCTCTCTTACTGTGCTGGAGACGTGTGCTTTGGATTTAGCATCGTTTCTAATGTATCTTTTCCGGTACTCCTACTCCCTAGGCGTAGTCCCAAAATCATGGACGACAGCTTAAGTGCTACCGCTCCTAAAAAAGGTGACCGCTCAGATCCGTCTAACTAAAGGTCTATAGTTATCACCTCCTTGTTCTCCAAAATAATAGAATGCATTATAAACTGTCAACTCATTAGGTACTTTGAGGATCACCAGCTGATTAGTGACCACTAGTACTGTTTCCGTCGGGGTCGCTCATCTGATGATCTGAGTTACCTAACTCATAAATAGGCGGAGGAAGTAGAGTCCAAGGGGAAGGCGTTTGCTGTGAGTTCGGAAATAGCGAAGGCCTTCGATCAGGTTTGGTTTCCCAAAAAATTGTGCAATTAGATCACCAGTTTCCTAGCAGATCGGAGCATCATGGTCGTACTAGACGGTGCATGCTCCAATTACAAGCCCACTGACGCTGGTATTCCACAAGGATACGTGCTATCACCAACGCTGTTTCTTTTGCATATCAATGATATAATGCAAACCTATAATGCTTTATACCCGTCGTGTCAATGTTTCCCGGGAAAACGTCGCAGAGTACCTGGAGAAACTTGTATCTGAAGTCGAGACTTTGTTGAACAAAGTTTTGGACTGGGGCGACTAAATTTAGTCCAGTTCAATCCTCAAAAGACACAAGTTTGCGCGTTTACCGCTAGAAAGAACCCCTTCGTCGTATCTCCTCAGTTTCAAGGTCGCCTGAGCCCGTGTTTTAATCCTCGTCGTCGACATATCAGGGGCCAAATTGGCCTCAACAAAGCTTGGCGTGCTCAGTAGAGCGGGACAGTATTTCATGCCGGCACACCGCTTGCAACTTTACAAGGCGCAGGTTCAGGCGCACATGGAATACCTGTACTGGGGCTCCCCAGTGCCAGTTCCTTCCATTTGATTGCATCCAGCGCAGGGCCGTTTAAATCGTCGGTGACCGAGCTCTTTTCGATCGGCTTGACACTGGCACTGCGAACAGATGTTGCATCTCTTTGCATTTTCTTTCGCATATACCATGGTGAGTGCTCTGAGGAATTGTTCGGATCAATCCCAGCCGCCAAATTTCATGAACGTACTATGCGGCAAACGTCCCGATACCATCCACACCATCTGGATGCTTGGCGGTCCACCACTGTACGTTTCACAAGGAGTTTTCTTCCGCGTACGACCTCTCTGTGGAAAAGTTTACCACCGGCGATTTTTCCGGACCGATTCAACCTGGAGATCTTCAAGAAAAGAGCTTACTCCTTTCTAAAGGGCCGGCAACGCACCTGCGATTCCCCTGGTGCTGTTGTTGTTCATGGGCGGCCTTTGATCACGTACTCTCCTATAAAAGAAAGATTGTTCCATTTAAGCAATAGTAATTGAATAATAAATCGAAGTTATTTGACTGTCGGTCGGTTGCAGTTATGGCTCGCAACTAGCGGCCTCCACGTCCCGAAAATGTAACAATTAAAATTTATTGTGAGACGATTAATTTACTTATTTTTAATGTTTTCAGTCAAAATAGTTCATTGCTGCCATCAATAGCCTAATGAATAATAATAAAAAATAGAGACTAATAAGTTACTTATACAGCATCAAGTTATTAGGGATTATATTATCTTGAAATAATATTACTTCATACATTGTCGTTTTTCGGTGTTGATCATCAGGTAAACTGAAAGTTTGTTTGTCACTTTAACGTTATAAAAACGTTTATCCTTATATTGCTATTGAATAGACCTTAAAATTAGTAACGTTACTAACCCCGTCATCAATTTGCGAGATTAGGGTTTAAAATTTACATATTTACGTATTATATAAAAAAATTATAGAATAAAGGTGACAAACGAGCGCACAGTTCACCTGATGGTAAATGGATGCTGTGGCCCATAGACATCTACATTTATCCTCTATTAAGGATCAAAACGCAGATGCGTTGACACCCATGATGGAATGTCTCGTTTCCAGTAAAAAATGGTTTCCAGATCTCTATACTCACCATACGAAACACAGTAGTATTAAGCTGCTATTTTACGCTGGTATTCTGTGAGAGCGTGGTCCGTCTCCGGTCGAATCGACCCATTCGTGCTACAACCATGATATAACTGCAGCGTGGCTCTACCATGTATTACAGGTAAATTTTAAACCCTAATCTATATATAAATACAATACAATTGAACAGGATCGACAATAATAACCGCGTAGTGGCGGTGTAAGAATATCCACTATCCCAAGTCATCCCGTGGGTGTCGTAAGATTTAGCAGAGGGAAACAAATCAGGAAATAGGTAGCAGCGTCTTGCTAATAATGACTAATAATAAAAAACTGCGTTGGCCAGCCCGCTTGCCAAACGTGGCAACTATGGTAAATATCCCCTCTATGAGAATACATGGGGGAGGCCTATGTTCAGCAGTGGACTTTAATAGGCTGTATAGATATAATGAAATTCTGTTCAACCCTTATCTTTATAAAAGTTGTATGGAATTTCATTCACCGCTCCACCACACTCACTGTCTTCATCGAGAATCACACAAAATATGGAAGCATGCATTTTAAAGCGCCGCCCTGTGCATCTTTCACTCGAGAACGCGGCCTTAGAAATTGTTAGTATTTTACAGGTACTAATAAGGTATATGATACTATAGGTCACGCGGCCACGTAAGATTTTTTAGTGGCTATATAACATATAAAAACATTTTTCTACATAAATTTTTAAACATTTCTAGATTTTATCTAGTTAAGGTATCATCTTTATTGTTTTTTCCTCCACAGCCTTCGTTTTATTACGATGATATAACCTTCAAATGCAATGTCTTAAGTAGGCGTGTTTTGAATAAATAAACTATAATCGTTATTATTACTTAGCGAAAAGTTCTTTTTAGATAATTTCTATATTTATTATTTAAAAAAAAAGAAGTTAAAATCTTTGCTCGTAAATACTGGCTGAACGGGGTAAATAAGAGTGACAACGTAAAATGTAAAGTCTGAAACATCAATGATTTTGTTTTGTTTAGTTTTGACTTGGTTCTCGTTTTAAGGTTTTGGATAATGAAATTGATAATTTCCGCGGCAACTGAGCGACAGGAAGCAGAAATTCGTAAATAATCGGAGATTACACTTTGAGGTAAATAAATAAGCAACAAAAAACCAATCATGCCGTCTAAGTTTCATACAATTCACCTTTGATTCTAAATTTCCTTTAGTCTTCCTAGCTTAATTTTGTAAGGAACAAATTATTTTACAAAAAAATCTACCCTAATGTATCACAGTATTACAAATTCCACTTATTCCAATATTAAACCCATTTAAGTAAAAATACAAAAGTAGGTACATATAACGTCTATTTTAAACACTTATACCGGTAGTTACTATGAACAATACGCTCGAAGTTGGCAAGCATTTCACCCAGGACAAATTTTCTGACTAGGTAAATACAATTTCGACAAGAGATTCGGATTTTCTCCGGAGTAGCTCGGCAGCATTCTGGGAATTGCGACACATCTTCTCGTCACGTACCTCTTAAATAAAAAACAAGTGTACCACCAATGCGTGTTGGCAGTGAGAGCATGGATCTAAGAGGTTGACTTCACTGCTTAACTTAGAAGAGGGCTGTTCTCGGAGTTTCTCTGCGTAATATACATCGTAATGTAACTGTGCAAGTGGCTCGGGACCGTGTTACGTAACATTTTTTTGGGAGGCCTATGATCAGCACTGGACTTGTGAAGAACTGTAAAGATGATGATGATGATGAAAACCGATTTTTCTTCACTATTTTTCATTCACCTATTCATATATTCCTTCAATGAAAGTCCCAATTATTTAAAAAAAAATCCATATTTATGCACTTATATGTAAATAGATAGATTTTTACTTAGTACAATAAAAACTCCTTTAAAATAATTCCATTAACCATTTTAAGGAGTTATCATAACCAGTTTTCGAAACATTTCGCTACAAACGAGTTCGCAATATATTTCGTCCACGTTAACATTATAAATACATAAACACTCATGTCACCTAGAGGGTAGGCACAAACTACGGACTTCCATTCGACTCGATCCAAACACACCTCTCTCGCCTCCTTTACGTCCATGTACCTACGCATACATGTTCAGCGATTAACGGTGCTCTTGACCAATATTCAATATATCGCCAATTTAATTTAGTCGATAAACCTTCGTCTCGAGCTAGAGTGTTCCTTACCAGCTCTGCCGTTCACTTTTGCAACATAAATCACCTTTTTCACTCTATATCCATTCTTTCTACCAAAACACCGAAACACTTCTTTCTTAACCTGGTTATAACATAATCTTACGAACTCCACTTTTCCCTTATCACACAATTTCTTACCCTGTCATTCAAATTCAGCCCTAATAACCGTATTTCATAAATAATGATTGAAAAATTCTGAAAAATATGCATTTTAATAAAAGTTTGCAGTTGACAACTGTACAACTGTAGAATTAAAATTTAGGAAATACTACCGACCTTACTCGTACCCCAATACGTACTTTGCCAATTACTGAGGTTTCCAACTCCCCTAACGAATTCGTGTAATGTGTATGTTATATTTTGTTACCTTTATTTTTTTATTTTGTAAATGTGGTTCGTAGATGGCGTGAAACTAAAACTCACTGTGCTGGAATTTCGTTCGAAATTAAACGTTGGTTTTGAACGCAGATAAATTTGAAGTGGTAACATTAAATATTCTACTACTAACTACTAACTATACAGGATCAACATTTTAGTAAGCTATAATTCTAGTTTTAGATTTTTATTACATTACCCATCTATCAATTAAAAATCAATAAAAGAACTTTTGTTTAATACTTCGATATCACTTTAGAAAACCTAATGTGATTGCGAAACGATATGCACAAGACAATTATTTTAAACTGTGTGTGTGTTAGTGTGTGAAATTTAAGACTAGGTTAAATTTCACACCTTTTCAGTAGTAGACAACAATTTATTCTTGATTAATATCACTTCATTTTTCCTACATTCGAACTTACAATCCACCTCATGCTATGTGGCTACTATTATCCATGGACACCAGCAGCCAACTTCAACCAGATTCCAACTTCAAGGCAATAGATGCGATACCATCTCTGAGAAATGCCTCGTTTCCAGTAAAAAGGGTCTCCGGTTCTCTACATTCACCATATGAAACACAGCAGCATTAAGCTGCTAATTCACGTTTTTGTATTCTGTGAGAGCGTGATCTTTCCTCAGTCGAACAGTTACAATATGTTTATAGCACGAATAGGTATTCGATGCTATACGACCATATAATATAATTATTATATGATACCTTAACATAGCTGCGTAGCTCTACCCCACAAAAACGTCGCTTGTTAAATATCTTTTTTAAAATTTTTTACCGTTTTGAAATAAGCTTCCTCTGACCAGAGAAGAAACGGCCAAAGAAACTCTTCATTCATATTCATTAACATATGACAGTAATTATATTAACTCTCTATACCCTTCAAACCGTAACGCAGCACTAGAAACACTGCTAATTGACCGCAGAAGTAGGGAAAAGGAAAGGAAATAGGTGAATAAATGAATGATTAATTTCACGTCCAATACAACGTACCAAAAAAGTAAAACAGTGAAGAAAAAAGCTACAAGAAGTCACAAATACGTTGGGTTGCAGCAACGAAAAGGCGTCAGACTCAGCATGATACTGTAACAGTGTTGCCACAGCCACGACGCTGTCATACATTTAGAATATACTGGCGTTTAGACGACGTGACAGCCTGGAAACGCGTGACAAATTTTGATTTGTAATTGTGTGCGTTAGCCGGTAATGTACATTTTATTTACAAGGACTATCGAAGAATGATTGTTAGAAAAGCGGTAAAAAGATAAAAAAAATTATTTAGTGCACGAAACTGGATAACTTCAAAAATTAGCTGAATTTTTTACATGATATTCTAAAATAATTAAAAACTACATATAACATGTTCCCGAGAATAAGCAACCTATCTGCGTTTTGTTGGGAATTAATTCGAAATGTACAAAATCCAAATAATCTCTGAAGAGAATAAACTTAGCAATTTTCTCCAAGAATCAGATTGGGAAGTATTTACTGCCATGGACAGTTTTCTCGGAATTTATTTTTTACCATAATGTTAATCGAATATAAATACTAGATACTTAATCAAGTAAATACCTATTAATATTTGATATATTTTATAAAATATATTGCTGGTGAAATAAAAAACGGGGACACGGAGTACATAATGGCTCCTTTATTTTTCATATTTAAAGTATTACTTTTAATAATTACAAACATTTAATAATTAAATACATTACTTATTATCACTTTAGCTGCATGAATTCAAAAACAATGATCTTAACAGAGACTAGCCAAATACACAGGAAATATTAAAGTGCACAAGTGTCAGAATACATGTGCACCCTCCTTTCTCTCAATCTCCTCGGACTTACCGCGGCAAGTTCAGCTTAATCTTGCAGACCTATTGATCCCCACAGCTATTACTTAACCACGAGTTTCTCTTCTCTACAATTAACGCTGTAGGCGATGAACCACGCTATTAAGCCCTCGTCACACAGTCGTCGGCCACCAAGCATGAATCGAGCATCGATGTGTAATGATCTCACGTTGCGGAAAAATTTACGTCTTAAAATAATTTCAATGAATAGTATAGCTATCACTTAAAATACTGACGGCAAGATATATATATATATATATATATATATATATATATATATATATATATATATATATATATTATTTACTATATTACTTTTTTTACAGAAAAGCTGTCATCATGAATAATGACAATCAAGGAAACCCGTACATGCAAAGGTTCAAGGGCATCGAAAATTTTCTGCGCCGAGTAGCATTTAATTTAGGTACGAACTTGTACCACTTTTGTGTTAATATAGCTGTAATACGAAAGGACTATTAAGAAAGAACATTTTTTTGGAGTTTAGCGATCCTTAAATTTGTATATGATATCAACATTCGAATGTTTTCATATTTCATATTGCACTTATTTTCATTTACAACTTTTAAAATTAATAGTCAAAAGAAAAATGTACCTCAGGTTTCATATACTCGTAAGATGCTTGTAAGATTGGATGCATCATCACTACTTTGCATTGAAAAAGATTTGCTACGTGAAATCAATAATTTCAGCGATATTGCTATTAAAAAGGCAAGAAAACAATATTTCAGTCCATAAGCTATAAAAATTATACCCTAAAAAATGTAACGATTTTACTTCAAATAAAAAAACCCACGCTGGTCATGGCTGGCAAGCCCATAGCAATGGCAAGACACTTTTTCACTAGTAATGGTCGACAAGATTTTTCGCTTGGATTTATCGTTTTTTTATCACTTTCCGTCATCTGTTTATCGCCAGTGTCCCTAAGTTAATCAGTAGTAAACACTGCATGCTAATGAGGTTTGAAATTGAAGACAAAGTTGGCATATTCCTAGATAAAATAAATCTCTAAAAGTACAGTAAATTCTAATACAGATATAATAAGGCTATCCTCAATTATAAAACATATATACTTGAGAGAATGCCTTACGCATTAAGTTCGCCTATACAGGGTATTTTTGAAATGCTCCCGAAAACGAAGAAAGACGATAAATCTATAACCTTTGGTGATGGGACGAAAATAAAATCGATCCCGATGAAAAAGTTTATTACAACGTTTATTTAGATTTTAGTTTACTTAGTTTATTCACGCTCTATCATGTTACTACAGATAAATGGAATGATAATTTCATTAAAAAATCATGAGAATGCTTAAACATAAAACCAGCAGTGGAACTTCAAATACCTAACGTCAGCTGATAGGGGTCATTGTACGCGCGACGCCAAATACGCGCGGCTCTACTATATAATTATATTTTATTATATATAGCTATACTAATTTATCTACTCAAAAGTGCGCGGCCCGTAGCCCGCGATCGTACCAATACCTAATAATTTACAACATTAGTCTAAATGCCTAACTTATTTACTTAGCCTACTATTTTGCCACTCCACCTAGCCACTTCAATTCGAATTCACAGGTTAAGTAAACCAAATACCTGGTTTGATTCCCCGCTTATGAAAAAATTACTTAAATTATTTAGTAGGTATGTTTATTATTCTGATGTATTCGGTTATGTACCTATTAAGATCAGCTTAGTACTAAGTTATTAAAAAAATTAGGTATGAAACAGCTTAAGGATCTTAATCCATAAATAAACCTGCCCATACGTTAACCAACCATCGGTTTTGATGCTCGGCTTACGCTTTTACACCTTGTGAACTCTCCAGTATCATACTACACTTGTTTCATCCCGACACCTTAACAAATTAGCTTATACTTTATAAAATTGTAAATTCGTAATGCACGCGAAGCATTCCCGCGAGCTTCTCCAAGGCACATTAACATGTTGCCGTATTCACGAGTACTATAAACCAAGAAACACAAAACGTAGCAACAAGTAATGACAAGTAATAACAGCAAAAATTTTTCAATAACTAATTTCGGAGTGGCATCGCCGCACATGTTGCACAGCGTTGCCAAACCAAAATTAACCTACTAAAATTTGACCTATTTCTCTAATTCCCCTAAAGTCTATTTCAAATTCCCCTCAATTTTATTTTACGTAATGAAACAATTTTCAATAAATTTTATAAGATTTATTTTTAACTAACATTTTTTTTTTACCGAATTTTTTTTCACACTCCATATTTTTGTAACAAGCATTTTACTCTATGGAGTATTTTTAATTCGTTCCCTTGTTGCCATTAAAAAGGACCACAGTAGCTGCATTTACTCTGCTGTAAAATAAAAAATAAAGAAATGAAAAGCATTAAATGATACACAAAAGTTGCCAAAAAATCCGAAAATTAAATGTGGTGCAAGATAATAAAAAAAGGGATTTAATCGATATTCATAAGTAACCTAACAAAAATGTTAAGATAAGTATTTAGATTTCTTGAAAACAGGTTCTGACTTGGATCAGGCAATCGATTTTGAAAATCTCCGCATAATAACAATCCCCAAAAAATCTCCAACCAATTTTAAATTCCCCGTTTGTTGGAGCTGAACAGGTATTAACTGCGAAGCGACACGATTCGGAGCGGGAGGCGGCAGCACGTGTGTGAAAGGGAAGGGTAGAGTGAGCGTGAATACAGTAATACCTATTGCATTCTTTCGCACGGAGCTAGATAAAAATAGTTCAGCGTCCGCGCGTTTTTTGATCCCATAATCAGCTGATTTCAGGCATAATTTTCACTGCTGGTTTATGTTTGGGTATTTTCATAATTTTTTTATGAAATTATTGTTTCATTTAGCTGTACTAACATGATGGAGCATAAATAAAGCCAATTAAACGTTGTAAAAAATGTTGTTTTTTTTTCACCGGGATCGATTTTATTTTCGTCCCATCATCAAAGGGTTTTAGTAGTATCGTCTGTCTTCATTTTTGAGAGCGTTTCAAAAATACCCCGTATACACCATGACTTGACACAAACCTATAAGGTTTATTAAATATATATATCTTCATATATAGAAATAACGTGTCATATTGTTGTTGATACACTCCTAAGCTACTAAACGGATTGCAATAAAATTTTGCACACTGTATGCAGCATGGTTCAACTTGAGAGATAGGATAGTTGTTATCGCGATAAGTGGCACTCAATATGCCATCATATATATATATATATATATATATATATATATATATATATATATATATATGTGTGTGTGTGTGTGTGTGTGTGTGTGTGTGTGTAAGAGCCGTGGTAGCTTAGATGATTAGCGCTCGCTGTAAATTTCACAGTACGCGAGCAAACCGGGTTCGATCCCCACCAGCACCAATGAAATTGTTAATTGCAATTTTACCACGTGCTCAGCGGTGAAGTAGAACATCGTGAGGAAACCTGCATGTCAGAGAAATAAGAAAAAAAAATATTTCGAAGACATGTGAAGTTCGCCAACACGCATTGGGGCATCGCGGCGGACAATTCCTTGCCCTAAAAATTTGTGGGACGCCTGTGCCCAGCAGTGGGACTTAATATAGGCTGTAACTTTATATATATATATATATATATATATATATATATATATAATAAAGAATAAATTAAATATTAAAATTACAGGTAATACTCCATCACAGACAGAAGTCAAAATTATATCATGTATTCCAATAGACGTAACAGACCTACAGCAGAGGATCATAACCCTTGAAAGGGAATTACTAGAAGCTAGAACTCTTACTAATTATAAAGCCAATACTATAATGAGCTCAACCATTAATAAAAACACTCCAACTCGGCACTCCACACCAATTGTCCAAACAGCTCTTGGTAATCCTACCCCAATCTGCTCAAAAACGAAAAACACTGTGCCATGCAAATGTAGTCAAACAAATGTTCCGGTTACGAATCATGGGTGCAACACAAAATCGTCAACTAAGAAGAAATCAAGTGTATGCTTTGTATCCCCTACTGCTTCAGACCAAATTTGCACAAACCAATACGAGGTAACATATGCAGAATCCAATGTTAATGTGAGAACAGCTTCGGCAAATTGTGAAAAAACAAAAGTGGCCAACAAAATCGTCCCGAAGAGGCTTAGGAGAGTTTTAAGAAAGAAAGCTAAACAGAAGACACAGTTGGTCTATTTCGCTCAGACTTCTAACACACCTTTTAACAGTTACGACATGACCCCTGAATCGATTAATAATATTACATTAGCGAACAAGAAGTCTGTTATCAGCCGCACTTACTTAAATAATATGATTCGCAAGCAATATGAGCCGGAGGTAATTGCCAATGAGCCGACCGATATCAGTCAATTTTCCTCACCCATCTGTAGAGACATAGATCCCATCAATATCAACTCATATGAGTCCAATTTATCGTGTGACTATAAAAAATTTGAAAATCTCGATAAATTTTTACCAAGGAAAAATAAAAACCTAAATATTACACTGCAGAATAATTTGGTCATAGACCCAGGCCCAGTTTCCTTATATTACCAACAAACCCATAGGAATAATCATAATGGATACTACGATTCTGATCATTATGATATATTCCCAGTTAAAGAAAAATCCGTTAAAGCGAAGAAAGACGAAATTTTGTCTAAACAGTTTCAACGAATGCATATTGAATATTGGCCTGAAAATCTTCGAACTAAAAACAATATGCACCCATTTTTATATGAAACTGCTAAAAGAACATATGATCGTAGACACGACAATATTTGTAAAGATGATGAACAGAAAAGCACAATTTCAAATGCTAAAAGAAAAAAGGGTCGAATTAACGGAGAACGAGAAATGAATTCGGGTGAACCTAAAATTTGTTCCGTAGATTATGGAAATGTTTATGTTAAGAAAAATTTTACTACTGATAGTACACAAAAATCTAACCCAAAAACTCCATGCTTAAAGAATACACAATGTTTAACTGTGAACGCAATAAATACAGAATGCCAGACGGTGGAATCAAAAGCATTTCAGCATCATGTTCCAAATGATAACAAAGCGGAAGTTACTCTCAACCAAATCAAAAGTATATTACAATCAGTTTTAACTGAAGTAAAAACAAATATTAAATCAAATAACGTTGTTCATAAGCCAAAAAAAGATGTCGTGATACAAAAAGATGTATCTCATAACAATATAGAGAGTGGTTCAACATTTCTCAACAGTTTCACTTACACTCCTTCTTATAGTATTAATCCTTGTGTAGCCTCTTACTCACGCCAAGTCCCTAATTTTTGTTATGCCAATTTGCCTGCCTTACCAATGAAATGCTTACAAAACTATCCCCTAATATTACCTACAAAACGTCAAAATTGCGGGTGTCAACATAGAGGCGGCGATCACAAGGTAGAATCACAAATCCAAACAAAGCCAGCTGCTACTACAGCAACCAATACTGATGGTGAACCAAAAATGCAAAAAAACGAAGCTATTAACTTGATTAGGGAAATATACAAATCCGTAGCTGTGGACGTTGACTATTCAAATAAAAACACGTCACGCATCTCATTCGGATACCAAAAAAGGACAGATCACCCTGAAGAGCAATCTGTTAACACCAAAGAAGTAACTAGCATCGAGCAACGGTCAGCAGGGCAAACAAACACTGTATTGGATGTACCTACTATACTTACGTCCAATATTACCGACAACAATACCGAATCAATCACAGAAAGCTCGCAATCAGAAGTAAAAAGTGAATTAGCGACGACTGCTACTGGTGAAAGTTCTCAAATTACTGACAACAACACCGAGGATGATAAAGTATATCGTTCTTCAGACCAAGTGGAAAACGAAACAGCTGACCAACAATCTAACAACGAAGAAACTGCATCTAACAGCGAAACTGAAAGTGAGGATACGCTTGAAGCCGATGAAGAAACAAAAGTAAATATATGTCTCAACCTATTTATAGCTAAATCACCATAATCAAAAATATTTTAAATGCCATATTATCAAAAATATTAAACTTTTTTTAAACGTATAATGTTTAATATTTTTGATAATATGGAACGTATCAATTCGAAACATATAATTCCTAAAAATTTATTAAATAATCTTTATAATGGGCGTAAATTATTGAATAATATATAATAAAACCTTATTTAATGATAAAGTAACGAAAAGAAAGAAAGAAAAATCTTTGAAAGAAAAATGACAATATTGATAAAAATAGTTTAGTAGGATTAAAACAGTCCGGAAAACAGTAATAAACAAAATTATTGCAAAAAATATTCTTAATAAGTGGTATTGCTATTTACTGGTTTGTGTGATGTTAAATTTCGTTCCTTCAGTTTTCGTTTCACTGTCCACCTACTGATTTCACAACTTCGAACGTCAAGTTACGCTTACTGTAGCTGAACGGTAATAAGTTCACGGTCGCGCAAAGAACTGGTCTAAATAAAGCGGTCGTCACGTTCTGTCGTTGCCTATGGTCTGCCGGTTCCAGGTCACCAAGCAACAATACCAGTCTCCAAATACCTGCAGTATACCTGTTGTACCTTTGAATGACTCGACTAAAGTCTGCGTGCCACTTCGCGTTGTCCGTGTCGAGCCTCAAGTAATGCTACAACTTGGGCAGCTTCCGTTGGTGTAGTATCAGTTTTGTCAGGCTATTTGATTATACAGACAGATAAAGACAACAATAACAGATTAATATGAGTATAATTAACAAAAACCCCCAATTAAATCTTTTCTTAATGGAGTACAATGAAAATGTTATAAGCAAATTAAATGCAATAATTTTATTCTACCCCTTAAACTTTAATTAAAAATGAAAATTTGACAACTAACTAGCTTCATTGTAAAAATTAAATAACCTTTTAGGCGATATATATATTTCGAATCGATGTGTTCCATAATACTATAAATAATAACCATAATGCGTGAAAAAAGGAAGTGGCTAGGTTTATTTGCTTCCAAGTATAGTTAATAACCCACTTTGCGTTTCTTGAAGAAATATGCCCATACTCGCCATATTGATCAAACGTGTTGATGAAGTTATTAGATCACTTACGTACAGATAATAAAATTCATATAGATATTTTTGATCATCAATTTATTTTTTAATAATAATTCCATTCATTAACTCATTACAGAAACCAGTCAGAGAATCCGCTACCTCATATCATCCCTTAGATGTCGTAAGAGGGGACAGAGAGAAAATAAAAAGAAGATAGAGCAGCAGTATATTCTCAATACAGCTCAAAATATTTAACAATAACTGTTGCTGACCCGCCTGTCAAGCGTGGCAACTATGGCAAATACTCCTGAAAGGAAGAAAATCCTTCTATATGGAATAAAGCCTATGATTGCACTTGACTTTAGATATGCTGTAATGATGATAATGATGATAATGGCTCGTGGACTACAGCTACATTCATTTAATTTAAATGGTGTAGGGGCTCCTTTTTGTCTAGGTTTCTGTCAGGTGAAACCAACTTTTCTGACACCAAGCATCACTCCACCCACTGCTGTGTTCCATTTAAAGAGGGAGCCAATTGACATTTGACATTGACATTGACATGACTGAAAAAGAATTCTTTATGTAAAGTTCTTATTGTAAAGGTCGCATGAACTACATTAGCCATTTAAAAAAGGCATTAAGAAAAATAAAAAATTATACATTTGTCAATACAAATTACAGAAAAAAGTAAAACCGGGTCTATTACAAAAAGTACTACAAACCGTAAACATATTCAAAAAAAGAAAACCCGAAAAAATGGCGGATGAAAGTGAATCCGAAGAAAGCGGTTCGGATTACCAAACAATATACAGTTACAAAACGTACAAAGACCTTAAACAACCAATCACCAGAAAAATACAAAAACCCATTACAAAACAAGTACACTTAAAACCAATGGTCCAACCAGTTAGAGAAATAAGAAAGGACGTGCAAGAAAATCGTAGAAGATCGCCCTACATGGAGCAAGAATACAGACGCTACTGGGATGAAAAACTAATGTTCCACGAAAACCAATCACCAGTTCGTTCTTCAGAGAGATCTTTTCCTGGTTTGTCTCGAAGTCCACAAAGTCCAGTATTCTGGCGAGGCTACGAAGCTAGAAGCGCCATTTTACAAACGCCACATAGACACACGAAAATACACCAAGAACGCTCAAAAACCTCCCAAACGGTTCGGAACGAAAGAACTGGACTGAAACTCGAATGGCTAAAAAAGCAGAAATTTAGAACTCCAGTCAGTGAAGAATCGTAAATAATTTTGTATGAAAATTATCATTTCTTATACTAACATTATTTTAAAATTTTAACGCCCCTTTGTTCATAAATATAAAACTGTCTGCCGATATATTTTCGATACAGATTTCGTATATAAAAATACTATTGTTTCTTTTATTTTTTTTTACTTAATTTTAAGTACCTTAAAGATAGCTTGTGCTTCATCCTTAAAGATATTGTAATATGAGTTATATGCGGCAATAGAGCAAAATGGAGCATCTTCCGACAAAGACTTCTATCCATACTACTTTAGTTTGTCCTCTTTACAATAGTGGCAAAATATTTTTCTGTGTAGTATTTAATGATTTTGTACTTTAGTTCAAAATCCTGTCATGTCTGGTATCCATCCCATCACTTCAGCGTTATTAATTTATCGTTATAGCGTATTAAATTTCACTGTTGAACATAGGTCTCCCCATAGATTGCCTCGAAGGGGGGGATGTTGGCCAGATTTGCAACGCCTGGAAGAGGGTTGACAACCGCAATTTTTTTTAATTAGTTATTAGGTAGAAGCTGCTGCCCTACCTGATATATTTTCCTCTTACGACACCCACGGGTGATACGGCAATACACGGTAAATTGAGCGTTATTTACAAAGTTTAATGCTTAGGGGATGGAATGAAATGAAGTGTTATATTATGTATAGACATAGAATGTAGGTAAAGATTATTTTCACTTGTCTTACTTTATTTTTTAGCTTAGAAAAATATTTACCAAAAAAAGGTAGCAACCCTAATTATGTCACAACTGCGGATCGCGCGAGCGCCGGTTCGGTAAATATGCCACGCAATTATTGTATCTTTCATTTACTACAGTTATTGTTAACCGACTTCAAAAAAGAGAAGGTTCTCTATTCGAATGAGTTGTTTTTTTTTTGTTATGTATGTTACGCCATATCTTCGCAATTAGTGCACCGATATAAATTATTATTTAAATATGAAATATATTAATATTTAAATCACATAATTTAGGTCAAGGGTGGTTCAATTAAATAAGAAAGAAAAAATTACGCCTCTATGGGTGAAACATAGGGGATTCATATCGGCATTGATAAACGCACTAGTATAATAAGTCTATGCATATTGGACTTTTATTTTAAGGAATTTTATACATCTTCGCAGATTGTGAGCCTATTTCAATTATTCTTTTTTTACCAAATAGTCTGCCTCCAGGGCAATATCTTCCCCCCCGAACGGGTTCCCGCCTTGTCGTGGCGGGGGGGCTTAGAAGCCGTGGCTTGGTCACCCACGGCGAAACAAAAAGGAACCCATATGGCTGGTCCGAGGCGGAGGACCAGCTCGAGGTGGCACTCCGAGTGGGCTTGGGAAGCCCACTTCGGATGTGTGTTGGTGGACTGCGGTGAGAGGTGTGTCCTCCCCACCTACCGCTGCAGCCGAGGTGGAGTCGCGGAGGAAGAGGAGTGTTGGTATGGCGATGCGCCACTCGCCCTATCCTCCGCGACTCAAACGGGGCCGCACCGTTGATGCGGTGGTGGTGGGGCTGCGGGGGGAGAGGATTGTCGGTATTGCGAGGCGCCGCTCTCTTTACCCTCCGCAGCCGAATCTTGGTTGGCGGCGGAGCCATAGACCAGATCCGCCGCTGGGGTCGGGAAGGCTAGTACTTCTAAGTGCTTGTTTTTCCTGGCCCCATGGCCTTCTTGCATTGGACGCGGGGGCGTCCGTTGCGCAGATGTGATTAGAGGCGGAGAAGGAAGGCGCGCCATGTGTTCTGGTGCGCCTTACCTGTGAAGGAGAACGGGGAGGAGTATTTCGCTCCCGAGGAGGTGCTGCCATAAGGCGGCAGGCCAGGCGCTGGTGGGGCTGCGGATGTGTGCGAAAGTGTTCCCGTGGCCCTGCCAATAAGCGACAAAGGTGGAACACCATGGGGTTTTAGTCGGTGCGAGTCCGACATAACCCGTCCTTGCCCCCGCGAGGCGGGTATGCGTAGGCATTTCCCCGTGTAAAAAAAGGGCAATATCTTATTATTATTATTAGACCAATAAATTTTGAAGAAAATATTCCAACCCTAAGGTTGGAAAATAAGGGAAAAAATTTCGTATTGGAACACTTAATGATTTCTTATATTTACGCGAACACTACACATTGATTAAAACTACTTTTACGGATTTTATCGCGTTTAGTTACACTTTTAATTATTTTTATTTTCAATTCCCGACGTTTCGGGTGCTTTCCAGCACCCATGGTCACGGGGGACTGAGGTGACTGACGTCCCGATGTCATTGTTAAACCCTTCCGCTTCTACCTTCAGCTTTTTTTAATTATTGTTTATGGTCCGATCTACGCAAAATGAACTGATTATGTCCTGAGGTCTTGCAGTGGTATGCTTGGGTTTCCAAGCAAACCACTGCAAGTCCGGGGAGGGACCACGCTCTCACAGAAAACCAGCGTAAAATAGTAGCTTAATGCAGCTGTGTTTCATAGGGTGAGTGTAAAGAACCGGAGACCCTTTTTACTGGAAACGAAGCATTCCATCTTAGTCCTCACGGGTGACAAAGCATCTGCATTTTGATTCGTAATCGAGGATAGATGATATAATAAATATAATGTCTATGGACCACAGCAACCACTTACCATCAGGTGGACTGTGTGTTCGTTTGTCACCCTATTCTATATTTAAAAAAAATTTTGAAGTCGGTTTTTATTTTATCGGAAAAAAACTTTATTTTTCAATTCTTAGTATTAAGCTTAGTGTTTTAGCACTTGCTCATATACACACTAAGGTGTTAAGTGTTACAGTTAATATAGGTAGGCTTTCTAAACTCGCTGCTGAAATGAGACAGCAACGGTTGTAGGAAACAAATGATGAAATAAAAGATCATTTGAGAAAACTACACCGGGAGGGCGACCATCGGTCGGACCAGGTGTCGGATTTATCGACCACAAGTCGCTCGTTAACAAAGTTGTAAAGATTGGTAGTATGTCGACGATTGTTGCGTACCTTATACTCAAAATCACCATACGGTATTCGCTGAAGGTCACCAGGTTTACGCACCAACCTCGGCATATCCCGATGAGGAGGTGGAGAAAATGTATGAGGATATCTTTAAAGCCATACAGTCGTCCAAAACCCATTATACGGTGTTAATGGGAGACTTCAACGCAAAACTAAGCACAGGAAAGAACAGTGAGCTGAAGGTAGAGAAATTTGGGATAGGGCAACGCAACCCAAGTGGTCAGCAGTTGGCCGACTTCATGGAGAAAGAGAGACTCCTTATGATGAACTCTTTCTTCCAGAAGCGACCCAATAGAAAGTATACCTGGTCGAGCCACGACGGTTTGACAAAAATGAGATTGACTTCATTATGACGACTAGACGGCAACTGTTTAGTGATGTCTCAGTGATCCCAAGGGTGAAAACTGGCAGCGATCACCGAATGGTTTGAGGCACACTGAACCCAAATGTTAAGTTGGAGAGGTCTCGTCTAATGAAGTCAACGCTCCGTCCCCCTCGTGCTCTAATCCAGAATCCCGAAACCTTTTAACTCGAGTTATGTAATCGCTTTCAGTGCCTAGAAGATTGCAATGCAGTGGACGATATGAATGACAAGCTCGTGGAAACTGTCCATGCGGTCGGAGCTAAGTTCTGCAAGACCCGCCGCAGAAGAATACAAAAGCTCTCCGATCACACTCTTAATCTTATAGCTGTTAGACGGGAGATGAGGCTGCAATCGTCAACAGATTTGACAGCATACAGGCAACTGAACAGACAGATCTCCAAATGCATGCGGCGAGACTTACGCAAATTTAATACTGCTCGTATTGAAGAAGCGATTGAGCGGAACCAGGGCTCCAAAATCTTTGCCAGAGATCTGTCTGCCAATAAGAGCCAACTGTCAAAGCTGAAGACTGAGTGTGGCAGCATCGTTTCCGGGACACCTGAGATTCTGAGTGAGATTGAGAGGGTCTATGGGCAGCTGTACACGTCATCGTTGGAACCACACACGAGTTTGAGTAACCATGCAAGAGCAAGTCTTATCCGACACTATTCCGATGATATCCCGAACGTCAGCCTGAGCGAGATTAGAATGGCTCTCCAGCACCTTAAAAACGGCAAGTCCCCGGGCGAGGATGGAATTACAGCGGAGCTTCTGAAAGCGCGTGGAAAACCGATACTTAAAATCCTTCAGAAGCACTTTAACTCCTTCCTCCATGGTAGCACGTGGAGCAGAAGTGCAGTGGTCTTTTTCTTCAAGAAAGAGTACAACGCTCTCTTGAAGAACTACAGACCGATTTCCCTTCTGAGCCGCGTCTACGTGCTGGTTTCGAGAGTCATTTGCAGACTCGAAGAATTCCAGCCTCCCGAACAAGCCGGTTTCGGAAAAGGCTTTAGGACCATAGACAACATACATACCCTTCGGTAAATTGTATAGAAGTCCGAAGAGTACACTGCCACTTTGTCTTGCGTATGTGGACTATGAGAAAGCATATGATTCCGTCGAAATTTGGGCTGTGCTGCAGAACCTTCAGCGGTACCAAATTGAGTGTCGGTATATCGAAGTGCTGAAGTGTTTGTACAGTAGGGCTACGTTAGTTATCCGAGTACATAATAATAATAAATGTCCTCCAGACCGAATTTCGGCCACGGCGGCCTGCCTCAACGGGGACTAGCCATCGGCGCAGGACAGGATTATAGTGCCCAAGTGTGTGCACAAGCTCAAGTGCATTCTCTATTCCCTCACTCTCATAATCCGATGGGACGGTAAACCGACACGACCAGAGAGAGATCAGGCGCAGGACCAACGGCTTTACATGCTTTCTGAGGCACGGGGGTGAGACATCGCCAACTTCCTGACTCCGGGCAACTACTGAGAATTTCTTAACGGAAAACTCAACAATTAATTTTTTTGGCCCGACCTGGGATTCGAACCCAGGACCTCATGATCAGCAGTCGCACTACTACAACCACTAGACCAACGAGGCAGTCACCGTACAGTCCGAGTACAGAACCAAAGTACGAAACCTATCCAACTGCAGATATAAGACAGGGTGACGTAATATCCCCGAAACTCTTCGCCGCTGCATTGGAAGACGTTTTCAAGCTACTGGACTGGAATGGATACGGTATTAATGTCAATGGCGAGTACATCACTCACCTTCGATTTGCCGACAACATAGTCTTTATGGCGGAATCGCTGGAGGACCTAAGCACTATGCTCAATGACTTCAATAGCGTCTCCCACCGGATAGGTCTTAAGATGAACGTGGACAAAACTCGGCTGGGCAGCGTTCGGGAGATTACACATCACATACGACACATCTTCTCGTCAGGCATTCCTCAAAACTAGATTGTACAACCAGTGCGTTTTGCCAGTGATGATCTATGGATCTGAGACGTGGTCTTTCAGTGCTGGCCGTAAGAGAAAGCTCAAAGTCGCTTTCTATGCGTGATAAACTTAGGAATGAGGATATCCGCAGTAGAACCAGAATGACCGACATAGCCCAACGGATTAGTAAACTGAAGTGGCAATGGGCCGGCCATATAGCTCGAAGAACCGACAACCGTTGGGGAAAAAAGGTTCTCGAGTGACAGCCTCGTACCGGCAGGCGAAGTGTAGGGCGTGCCCTTACTAGATGGAGTGACCTACCTGGTAAGACATGCAGGAAGTCGATGGATGCAGATGGCTCAGGACCGTGCTTTATGGCATTACTTGGGGGAGGCCTATGTTCAGCAGTGGACTTGTAATAATGATGATGAATTGTGTATATTTTCCTGTACATTTTTTCATTTCTTAGTAATGAAAAAATACTACTTTTAAGTTTTGAGTAGTGCTGGCAGTTTTGAAGTTGGTTTTTTGGTTTCCATAAAATTCAAAACTTTTAGGCAAATTAGACATTCTTATCTGAAGATAGTATAAGTAATAGTTACATTGCAACCATCCGCATAAAAATAAAATGATGTGTCCTAGTTTTTTCTTTTTTCTCGCGAGCATTGAGGTATAATGCTTCCTATCTGATTTTATGTGTTTATGTGAATTTATGTGTCTGTCTCTTTTTACTGTTGCTTTTTCCTTTCATATACTTTCAAATCACAACGGTGCTAAAGAAGTTTTTACTTCAAAAAATGGTAACATTGCACTGCTGAATGAACAAACAAATGTTTCTACTTCACCTTTATTAAACATTTTTAAGCCTACTCGCTAATAAAAAATAATAATTAGTCGCATGTTTTTATCGCACGTTTTTAGTAGGGAGCGGTTGCGTCGGCGTGTATAAATAGCAGCTGTTTTGATTTGGCTCGCCGCTCACTTAGCGGTCAGCCACCGTAGAGTCTACATCACCTGACGATGCCTCGTGTAGAGGCGAAACACGTCGTATTATCGTCGATGGTGTCTTTCCTAAAGTAAATGGTGTTGGGAGTAGTGGTGTTGGGAGTAGTGGTGTTGGGATTAGTGGTGTCGGGAGTAGTGGTTCTGGGATTAGTGGTTACGGGATTAGTGCACGCAATTGAGGGAAGGTGGGAGGTGCTCTTCAAAACTAGGTAAGACATATCATTTTATTTTTGAGGCGGATGGTTGCAAAATAACTATTAATATCTTTAGTATGGATTAACACAAAGTAACCCCTGATTCTATTAATTATTATTCTTATCTGAAACAAACTTCTAAATCCCGTGGACAAAGTGCAACTGAAACACTGAAATGACAGCGTTTTCTTAGACACATTTAACAAAATCAGTGTTAGATTGTCAAAAACATAGTTTGCGATTAACAAACCAAAGAACTAATCTTCTCGCCCAATAGCAGTCAACTAAAGGAATTCGGGGAATTAACCGTAAGTTAGTGCTCAATATAGGGGAAATATTTGTCATAGTTGGCACGCTTGGCATCATTTTTTTAGTCATTATTAGGAAGACGCTGCTGCTCATCTTCTGGTTTGTTTCCCTGTGTCGCCAATAACGACACACAGAAATTCTTACACTGGCGGTACACCGTCTTGACTGACTGTACGTACTAAAAAAGGATAAACTGCTTTTCCGTCTTGACTGACTGTACGTACTAAAAAAAGGATAAACTGCTTTTCCGTCTTGACTGGCTGTACGTACTAAAAAAAGGATAAGCTGCTTTCCGTCTTGACTGACTGTACGTACTAAAAAAGGATAAGCTGCTTTTCCGCCTTGACTGACTGTACGTACTAAAAAAGCATAAGCTGCTATTCCGTCTTGACTGGCTGTACGTACTAAAAAATGATAAGCTGCTTTTCCGTCTTGACTGGCTGTACGTACTAAAAAGGATAAGCTGCTTTTCCGTCTTGACTGACTGTACGTACTAAAAAAAGGATAAGCTGCTTTTCCGTCTTGACTGGGCTGTACGTACTAAAAAAAGGATAAGCTGCTTTTCCGTCTTGACTGACTGTACGTACTAAAAAAAGGATAAGCTGCTTTTCCGTCTTGACTGGCTGTACGTACTAAAAAGGATAAGCTGCTTTTCCGTCTTGACTGACTGTACGTACTAAAAAAAGGATAAGCTGCTTTTCCGTCTTGACTGGGCTGTACGTACTAAAAAAAGGATAAGCTGCTTTTCCGTCTTGACTGACTGTACGTACTAAAAAAAGGATAAGCTGCTTTTCTGTCTTGACTGACTGTACGTACTAAAAAAAGGATAAGCTGCTTTTCCGTCTTGACTGACTGTACGTACTAAAAAAAGGATAAGCTGCTTTTCCGTCTTGACTGGCTGTACGTACTAAAAAAGGATAAGCTGCTTTTCCGTCTTGACTGACTGTACGTACTAAAAAAGGATAAGCTGCTTTTCCATCTTGACTGGCTGTACGTACTAAAAAGGATAAGCTGCTTTTCAGTCTTGACTGACTGTACGTACTAAAAAGCATAAGCTGCTTTTAGTAGTAGCTTTATTTAAACGAGATATTTAAAGAAAAAGAAATAGTTCTTGACTTTGTTTGTATAAAATAAGGGTCACAAACGAGCACTCAGTCCACCTGATAGTTATCAAAACTATCTGCATCTGTTAAAAAACTTCATTTTAAGAAAAACTATGAAATAAGGCCTTAAATAGAATACGGATCATTTATGAATGGAAAAGCAATGTCTTTTCAGGGCTGATTAAATAAAACAGGCTTATTGCAGATTTATTTTATTATTTTTAATTAGACTAGCAGCAACATTTAAATATTTTAAATGGAATATAGTTTTACACAGTTACACAGATTATGTCAATTTATAATCATTCTTTCCGCTTCCCTGTGCTTTTTGTGTGTATTTCAAGTCGTCTATCACAAATCTGCAATCAGATAAAAAGGCATTACTGTTATAGTATACAAGTAGATACTGGTAGTCACGCTGCAGCTATATTATGGTCGTAGCGTGAATTGGTCTGCTCTACCGGTGTAGGACCACGCTCCCACAGGATACCAGCCTAAAATAGTAGCTTAATGCTGTATTTCGTATAGTGAGTACAGAAAATCGTAGACTTTTACAAGAAATGACCAATTACATCGTCCTCAGTTGTGACAACGTATCTGCATATGAAGATAGATTAAAGATGTCTAGGGGCTACAGCATCTACTTACCATTTTATGGGCTGTGATCACAGAAATTGTAATAATAAGTGACATAGACGCGTGACCTTGTCGCCGCTATGATGTGTTGACGAACACCATTCACCATTTTGTGATTTGGGGAACGTCGTACGTGAATTTATGTTATTAAAGGTGAACTGCAGCATATTCAGTTGTAAAAACTCATTAAGGACGTGTAATTCAACTAATAAAGGCATAACATTTCATCGGTAAGATGACTATTTACGAATTATCACTGTTTTAACTAATTTACATTTAGATGAATACTTTACTATGACCTTTATATTATAACCTTTGTAAACTTTCATTTATTACTTTTTGTATTGTATAATTATCATTGCTGCTTTTATTCTACTGTAATACGCGACGCACGCGACGTTGACAAACTCGCCAAGCAATGCAATGTGAAACATTAGATATCATTGTGCACTGCGTATGTTTATAATACGGCTGCAGGCATCAGTCTATGTGTTAAAATGTGGCGACTTCGGTTTTGGAAGTAATCGGGAGCTAATTCATTTCTATTGCCTTATTATTACAATTTATGTGGCTGTGATGCTCGGTAGTCATCCCTATTTTATAAAAAAAAAACACCAGATGGCAGGAGTGCTTCTCTGCCTAGGAATCTTTATGAGTAGGCACCAACCAACCGATTTTTGCCGCCCAAACAGCACATATTGCGCCACTGTGTTGGAATGCACCGTTTGCAGTAAAATGGGTGGGTAATTATGCACTGCTGAATGAACAAACAAATGTTTCTAATTCACCTTTGTTAAACATCTTTAATAATAATTTTAAGATTAATAATAATAAATAACTATAATAATATCAATAAAACAATAATAATAATAGTATTTAAAAATATTAATCATAACAATAATGATAATTAGTAGCAGGTTTGTTATCGCACGGCGCGATCACTCGCTACTTTGGTGGGGAGCGATTGTGTCGGCGTATATAAATAGCAGCTGTTTCGGCTTGCCGCTCAGTTAGCGGTCAGCAGCCGTAGAGTCTACATTACCTGAGGATGCCTCGTGTAGAGGCGAAACACGTGTCGTATTATCGTCGATGGTGTGTCTTACCTGGAATAGTGGTGTTGGGAGTAGTGGTGCTGAGACTAGTGGTGACGAGGTTAGTGCATGTAATTGAGGGAGGGCGGGAGGTGCTCTTCAATCCAGGTAAGACACATCATTGTATTTGTTTGGCGGAAGGTTGCGAATAAATTTAAATTTTTATTTTTTATTACAATGGATTTCCGCAAAGTAACGCCTGATTCTATCAATTATAATGGGAAATCACGGAATATCCCATACCAATTGTTTCTCACGGCTGTTGCAAAGGTTGTATATGTACTACAGATTGGCAAAATAAGCATCTGAAAATTTGTCAGAGTTAATATTTACTGGCTCCCTACTATATTGGGCCACGCTGTCCCAATGCGTGTTGCGACTTCATATGTCTTCGTTTTTTTTATTTCTTAGACATCAAGTTTCATTATGATGTTTTACTTCACCGCCGAGCACGTGATAAAATCAGCAATTTAAATAACAAGTTACGGCCTTTCTGTTAAAAATCGACGTAAAAATATACAATACTTGAAGTTCCTCTCTTTTCACTAAATGATAATAGAGACAGGTATTGAGATTATTAATTTAAGTACTAACGAGCCGACCCTGCTTTGCATGGATCTATAAACATAGGCCTGCTTCATAGATTGCTTCGTATTTTTTTCATTATATGATTTTGCCATAGTTGCCACGCTTGGCAAGAGAGTTGGCAACCCACCGAACAGGAGTTCCAGCTACCCTCTGTCGCCTCTTACGACACACCCACGGGATATGGGGTAATGGATATTCTTAGACCGCCACTACACTACTAGATAGGATCTATTAAGGTGCCACTATTTAGATTTAAAATAATCTAACATTTATTTTATCAATTTTTCGCTTTTTTTCAATAGAAATCTTCAAGATCAAAAAATATAACTTAGATCACATTATAACATAAAACACACACACACACACACACACACACATTATAAGATAAAATATATGTTAGATCACATTGCTTGCTATATGTTCGTGTAGTTTCATTACAATCGTTTCATCCATTCCGAAAATAGGCCCGAACAGACGGCGACAGACAAGTTTTATAAATGACCATTCGTGTCTTAATGACATTTTTTCTATAGAATATGGGTGACAAAAGAGCACATAGTCCACCAGATGGTAAGTGGATGCTGTGGCCCATAGACATCTACATTTATCCTCCATTAAGAATCAAAACGCAGATGCGTTGTCACCCCTGAGAACTAAGATGGAATGCCTCGTTTCCAGTAAAAAAGGGTCTCGGGATATCTACACTCGCTATCAAAACACAGCAGTATCAAGCTGCCATTTTACGCTGGTATTCTGTGAGAGAGTGGTCCTTCACCGGGAGCTACAACCATGATATAGCTGCCGCGTGGCTCTACCACATATAATGTGCAAAGAATCAAACCCCCATCTCAATAAAAGTTAGTTATTTCGATATCACAGACAGACACTTCAATTTTATACATTCTTATAGATTTTAAGTAAGGCCGTTAAACGTTCAACAAAACATCCATCCCAGCTATATGTCGAATATCTATTGTCAGTAACTGTCATCCATTGCGGCGATTCAATTCCTGCCATTTTTTTTAAATACTTTAATTACTATTATATTTCGCTTTTAATACTAATGTTATAATAATATATATATATTTAGATGAGAAAAACATGTTTGTTATATTTTATTGCATAAACCATAACGTTACACCCATATATTTAAAGAAAACACGAAATTAAGTAAATTATTTCTCCCGGCCAGTAAATACAAGCCGCGATGGCAATATTTAAGTAATGACGCCATATAGAAAGATACTGTTGAGGGGTTAATGAGAGCATCTGACTTTTTGCCACCAGTAGACATGTGTCAATCATTCATTTCTCGTGACCGAATCATTCTAGTACATCATACAACTTGCTAATGTAACGTGGAGGCTTAATAATAGGGTTTCGTTGGTTATCGTTCGGATATGGAATCTAAATAATTAATGGAAATAAAAAATTAAAGAATACAGCACTGACGAATTGTTTTGCACATACAATAGAAACTTAAATTTTCTTATTTACACCGCAATATCTTAATAATAATACTGTATAAACATGTATGTAATAATTAAATTCACCTCATTTCCAACTTACGACATCTGGTGAATGTAAAATTATTAGCCCTCAATGCTTCCGATGGGAATATAATCCAGGTAGTTTAAACGAAAATGCATTTTATTGTTCAAATGAGTCGGCTCGACTGAAGAAGGACCACATTGTCACAGAATACCAGCGTAAAATAACAGCTTAACACTAGTGTGTTTAGAGCCGTGGTAGCTCAGAGGGTCAACGCTCGCTGTAAATATAACAGAACGCGAGTAACCCGGGTTCAATACCCGCCGGCACCAATGAAATTGTTAACTGCAATTTTAAGTGCTGCCACGTGCTCGGCGGTGAAGGAAAACATCGTGAGGAAAACCGCATGTCTGAGGCATAAGAAAAAAAAATATTTCGAAGACATGTGAAGTTCGCCAACACGCATTGGGGCAGCGCGGCGGACACTTCCTAGCACTAAAACACTCTGAGAAATGAGAAGAGGCCTGTGCCCAGCAGTGGGACGTATATTATAGGCTGTAACTTTACTTTATTCATGTGTTTCGTATGGTGAGTGTGGGGAAATGGAGACACTTTTTACTGGATACGAGGCATTCCATCTTAGTCGTCAGTGTTAACAACGCATCTGCATATTGAAACTTAATTCAGGATAAATGTGGATGTTTATGGGCTACAGCAACCACTTACCATTGGGTGGGCTGTGTGCTCGTGCGTCACCGTTATTGTATAAATAAAAAATAGAAAACCTGTAGAAGAGCGGGACAAGTGGTGCAGTGGCCAGGTGCCAGAGCGCGTGCGCGTCCCAGGCGTGGAGGTGCGGCGGGAAGTCCAGCAGCTCGAGCGCCAGCGCGGCGCCCGACCCAGCCACGAAGGCCAGCGCGCGCCACGCGTAGCTACGCCCCGCAGCGACCTGCGCGCCCGCCCACAGCGCCCACACCCCGCAGCCCGCCACTCCTGCCACACACGTCCGCGCTCAACCAACCAACACCCGAGTTCAACCAACACCACACAAATATTTTACATTAAAACTTATATAATTACGTTTTCCAAAAAAACCTAGTTTCAATAGAAAAGATAGCTAAATGATAAAATTACATTACATTTCATAGACCACAAATCCTATCGATAAAACAGATTCCTAGCACAAATGATTCACGATTCTATTGAAGCAGCGGGCGGAAAGTGTTTTTCAAACTAGGTAACATAATTTTTTAACAAGGTCTTAACAAAATAATTTAATAATTATTATTTATTGCATTTAATTTTGTGTGATACAAACATATACGTATACATACGACGTTGTCACGTTAAACTATCGTCCGTAAACCGACTTTATAGACAACCATTTTTTTTTTCATTTACTAATATCTGACCTTAAAGTGTTAAAACTAGGAAACATGGTTTGCGCGAAAAAAATGGTTTTCAATTGCATGGTGGTGGGTAAAACCTAAATAAATAAAAATAAATTTAGGTCTTTGACATAGTAAAAGGAGAATAGTAGGTTATAATATCGCTAATATGTGTGCGTGCCTGGCTCGTGACAGTACGGACTCTTACGCACAAGCCACAGCTCGCACACATGACAATTGCTAAGTCTGGAAGATCGGGCTGAGTCAGGGACGCTCACCGCCCCGCTCCGCAATCAACTGTTTGAGACTTTGTTGACTTTTAATTAAATTTCGCTAGCAGTCTTTTTTTTTTTCGTTTTATTTTCTCACTTTGTAAAATAGATTAATATATGCGTTTGTTTAAGTAAATTAGCTTTTATTAATAGGTTATATTATTATATCCATACATAGATACATACCTCATAAGTACATTAATTGTCATATCACATCAGATCAAATTAATTTTAAACATTAAATCTGAGCTGACACCATATGCTCAGTGTTAATTCACTCGTATTTTAGTTATTTGGCATTTGTTGTAAAGTATAGCTGGATTTTTTGACATACATTGAATCTTTGAGAGGAAACTAAAAAAATGACTAACAAATATGATTGCATAGGTATGTATCCATATTTATTATGTTTGTAAATATTATAACTACTTAATTACGTTAACTGCAGCCGAAGGACCCAAAAAAACCGAAACTAATTTAAAATACCTTATTATAATATAAAAATTACAATATAATTATTACAACTAAAAAAGAAGTGAAACAGATCGATGCTAGATCTAGAATGATTTTAAATTATTACATTAAAATAAGGTAAAGTAATATCGCAGAGCTCCGATTGCATCCGTTGACGTCAATGCTCAGTTCTGCTGAGTTGCGCCTCGTGCCGCTGCAATGTATCGGGGTCACTGCTCTGTAGGCTCTTTACCTATGAGGCTATGCTATAACTACTTATAAAACTAAATGAGACTTAGCTGTTAAACAAAAAGACAATGACAACCCTACAACAGTAGGCATTCAAATTCGCGCGGCGCGGGAGTTATCCTACTATTCTGTTTTACTATGTCTTTGACCTTTTCACTTTGCAGGGTCACAGGCTAGGATGAATATGGTTTGAATTTGGATAGATTTTAATTAATTTATTTATTTAATTCAACATTTTTGTTTTTATTTTTTGGAAAATATCAGTGCCATAGACTTCTACACCGTTCACATGTTACACCCTATTTTTTTCCAGATGGTAAAGGTCATCCAGCATATTTTCTTACCAATTTACATGATTCTAATATCTATAAAGATGTGACTGTTAATATCTTGTATTGTATAAAATATCGTCTACAGCTTTCCCTAGAGCGAACATTTGCTAGAATTCTTATACATTTTTTGAGCGATAAAGAGTTTTTGGATGTCTGTGCAATTTCCCCACAAGCGCTGTGCCCCTGATCTACCACGCCACAATAGAACTTACCAAAGAATATATTCACGACCATGTTGTAATCATAGTCCACACTCTCGGAATACAGGTAGCGCACATGTTCCACGTAGTACAAGACTGATAAAACTAGAATCACAGCTACAGTTTTCCTTCTTTTATGGAAAACTCTGGAACAAAATGATTAAATGAACACTATAACACAAATTTTAGACTAGATTTTGTTTTACTAGATATTTGCCGCGACTTCGCCCGCATGTAATTTAGGCTTTTTTATTGCGCAGAATCCTAATTCTTTTTCTAAAATAGAAGCAGCCAAGTTACTTCTTATATCATCAGCTATCTTCCAGTGAAATTCCCGTTAGCCAGTCTCAACGGAGTTAGCCATCTGCGCGGGACAGGGTTATAGTGCCAACCCGAGTGTATGCGCAAGTACATATGCACTCTCTGTTCCCTCACTCTCATAGTTCAATGGGACAGTGAACAGACACGACAGGAAAAATCAGGTGCACCAATAAAGCAGTCAAATTTCGTAGTTCACATTTTAGGTTACACATTTTCTGCAGGACTATTTTCAGAAAAGTCTCTAAGCAACACATTTGCCCCTTTTAGTATTGGACCTCAGACATTTATAATCTATACAAAGAAATACTTTTAATAAGAAATTAATTAAATTACCTGACAATAGCAGCTACAAACAAAATCATAACCATAGAGAGCGCACAAGCATAGTCCATGAACTCGGTGAAGGGGTTGTCTCTGGTGTGGAAAATAATGGACCAAATCCATGCATTCATGCATACCTATGTAGAAGCAAATTTTTACACTGATGATGATAATATAATGTATAATAATAATATATAATTCAATCAGAAAGTTTATTCTATACAACCGCTATCTTATTGCTATTTAGATTTTGCAAAACCTTTGTGATACCCTCAAAGTATTGAATCTTCCAATTTTACAAAGTGCAGTTAAAGTGCAGTCAGCCTTCAACAGACATGACAGCATTCAGGCAACGCAGCAAAAAGATCTCCAAATGTGGCGAGATTCACACAACTTCAATATAGCTTATATCTAAGAAGCAATTGAACAGAACCAATTTGGGGCTCCAATCTTCACCAGACATCTGTCTGCCGGAAAAAATCATATAAATTGTACTATTTATCTTATCAGAATCATTCTTACATTATTAAAAAGCTGTTTGGACTCTTCATTACTTAGTGTAAATAAGTTCCCGTTTTGGTTACTATTGTCAAAGTTAGTGGCACTTAGTAAAAAAATTTAAAAAATCACGAACAGGAAAAATTTACCAGCCGACAACCGACACTTGATGGAAGAACCGGAAAAAAAGTTGTAACCAAATGTTTTCGAAGAATTTGAGCATGGATAAAACACTTACATAATAAAAAAAATATTTTCTATGATCAGGCAAGAGTTATTTACCACTTCATTTATTTATTTATTTCGAAAACCAACAGCATATACACAAAACATTTAACATTAATGTAACAAACTAAAAGTATGACCAATAACAGGTTTCCCTTATATTGCTTGATGGTATATTGTTGTTGGAAAATTTGTTTGTTTGTTGAAATATTGTTGTTCATCATTGATTAATTTCCATCTGGGATATTTTTACTGGAGGACAAATTAAAATAAGATCTTGCCCTAATAATTCAATGAGGATTTTATGTTTAACAAAAAACCCACTAGTATTTGTTTTTATTTAAAAAAACTTATTAAATTTCGTGATTAAAATTCAAGTTTACGAATGAGCCTTTTATCATAAAATTAAAAGTACCCACACAAGTTACAAATATCGTCAGAGATAAATTTACTTAGAAGAAATACGGTATATCAATATTGTCCTAAACGAAATATTTTTTAAAATGACGAAAATTTTCGTCGGTTGGTCGCTGAAAACTTCAAATCCTCAAATTTTAAAATTAGTAAGTGACATTATATGCACGACGCAAGCGACGAGATACCTGCTTAGTGTAACCAGCACTGGTTGAGCAACTCAGGGGCGGTGGGCGGAGCCACGGGGGTCGCGACCAGCGAGGTTCGACAACTAGCGAGGGTGCATACAACAACACAGAAAAACAGCCGTAGTCTTGGTTATTGTATTTAATTTGTTAAAAATGTATAATTTATATTAATATAAGATTTAGAATAAGATAATAAAGAAATAATGATGTTGTAACTATGCAAATAACTCTCCCAATAAAGGCATCGAATGAATAACGAGAGTTAGCATAGATTTTAAAAATATAAATTGTACTCTTATAGTTAATTTACCTTTGTTGCATATCATCTTTATTGTATACATGTTACCATTCATATAAATTACCTTTCTTAAGATAATTATAACATTATCAGGGCATGTTATTGTGATGCGGCCGCGGAATTAATGAAGCTACGCGTAGGGCGTCACAACGTTTTATATTTATAGTGCTGAGGTGCGGGGCAGGGTTCTCAGCTTAAAAATTGTAAATTACAAGGTTTAAAACCTTTTTAGAGTGTAAGATAATTATTGTGTACATAATAGTAGAATTAGATGTAAAAATATTATATAAGTAAATATGATTGTTAATAAATAAAAATTTTAAATAAATAAAGAAAGGCGCGGGGGGTGAGGCAAGGGTCCGCTGGCCAGCCGTGGCCGAATCATATAAAAGACGGACCGACCGGTAGGGTCCGTCGTCACTCTCCAGCCACCGAAAAGGCACTGCAAGAAGAATAAAAGTACAAGTTCCTCCTCACCGCCGCTTGCCTCCTATATAAGAACAACGCGTTTTATTCATTTTTCAAACGGCGTTACGGCGATCCGTAACATTAATGGTCCTTCGAAGAGCCGAATTAAGAAGCAAACCGCAAGAACGAAAAAATATTATTTTGAAGAAAAATGGTGATTACGCGTAGTAACAGCGGAGAATCATCGAAGCGTCGTAAGGAGGAACAGACGACCCAGGGGGCCACGGAAGAGACCTCCGGGGGCGAATCAGCCACAAGTGGCTCATCAAACACCACTAGCGAAACCACAACGGGCAGCGATACAACTGCTACCTCTGCGACCGATAAAACAACTGCAACGGAAGAAACCCAGCAAGAAAGTGATCAAAGATCACAGCGTACATTAAAGCCGGGCGAGACTAGGTCACGCCGCTCAGTAGTCTCACGCAAGAGACTCCTCGCGGAGTTAGAGGCGAAAGAGCGGCTAGCCGAACTCAAGCTCGAGCAGGCCCGATTGCAAGCAAGAACGGAACTACAAGAAATACACGTGCAGCGACTACAAGCAGAAGCCGGATCAACCGAGGACGAAGAGGAAGAAATAGAGGACGACTTAGCATCAGTACGCATTAGTACATGGTTACAAGAAAAACCCACCTCACAACCCGCGCCGCAACCCGCGTCACAACCCGCGCCGCAACCTGCACCACAACCCACGTCACACTCCGCATCACAACCCGCTCCGCAGTCTGCAACACAACCCGCGCCGCAACCCACGTCGTACTTCACGTCGCAACCAGCACCGCAGATCGCACCACCCGTACTTCAACAATATGCACCGCAATACGTTCCACAACATACCGCGCCGCAGAAAGAAGACTATGGACAGGCGCAGCAACAAATCGACGTCGCTACCTTAGCCGCTGCTCTATCACAAGCAGTACGAAGCACAAGGGAGCCGCCGAAATATTTGCAAGAGCTGCCCACATTCAATGGTAGCAGCAAAGAATGGCTCAGCTTCAAAACAACGTACGAAGAATCTTCAAAGTACTTCACGATGAACGAAAACATAGCAAGAATACGCCGAAGCTTAAAAGGGATAGCAAAAGAGGCCGCAAGCTGCCTACTTATAAGCCAATCAGACCCCAAAATAATAATAGAAGCTTTGGAAAGGAGATTCGGACGACCAGAAGCATTAATTCACTTAGAAATAGAGAAGCTGAAGCTGCTGAACAAAGTTACGGACAATCCCAGGGAGTTATGCATATTCGCCAATCGCATAGCAAACGTAGTGGGCACCGTGGAAGCGCTCAAGAAAGCACACTATCTACATAGTCCGGAGATGACGCGAGTTATCACAGACAAACTCACGCCCATATTGAAAAGCAAATGGTACGACTATGCAGCCAGGAAAAAAGAAGATATCCCAGAGCTTAAGAAAATATCAATCTTCCTAAACGAAGAAGCGGATAAATGCAGCGCGTATGCCTTGCCGGAATTCATCACGGAGGACAACGAACCGAGAGAGCGAAGGCCGAGAAAAATAGAACGCGCCTTCACCACAAGCAAGAAACAATATGAAGAACGCTGCCCTCAATGCAAACAAGAACACAAACTGCCCGATTGCAAGTCGTACGCCGCTCTGTCCACAAATGACAGATGGGAAGTGGCGAAGAAGTATAATATCTGCTATCGTTGTCTGCGAGGCAAACATCGCCGATTGCTGTGTAAAGCTCCACCGTGCGGAAAAAGGCGGATGCATGATGAAACACCATAAATTGCTGCATCACGACAAAAAAGCAGAAACCGAAAAAGAACCCGCTATGGAAACTGCAACATCGGCAAGGGAGGTCATCACAACGACTCAACCATACAAACACCGCCGCGCCTACTTAAAGATTGCGCCCGTAACAATAAAGGGACCGCTAAGCTGCGTCGAAACATATGCATTATTGGATGAAGGAAGCACGGTCACCCTAGTCGACGCCTCGATAGCTGACGTCATCGGCGCCGACGGCCCAGCCCACACAATGTGGATACAAGGGGTTGGCTCGGAGGTGAAGCATGAGAAGAGCAAGATCGTCAGCCTTAAAATAAGAGGAAAGCACGCGCAAGAGGAACACAACATAGAAGCAGCGCGTACTGTAGAGCGTTTGGACTTCGCGCCAGAATCCGTGAATGAAAATCACTTGAAGAATTGCCAACATCTGCTAGATATCAAAGAGGATATCACCTACGAACGCGCCTCACCGAAAATACTAATCGGGCAAGATAACTGGCACCTCATAGTGTCTAGAAAACTGCGCGTCGGTCGTCGAGATCAACCAGTCGCCTCATACACCAACCTGGGCTGGGTTCTACATGGCTGTCATAGCTCATTGACATCGACGGTCACCTTCTGCGGCAGACTACATCAAAGGGAAGAAGCACAGCCAATAGAAGAAGAAATAAAAAATTATTTCAAATTAGAATCACTGTGCATCGAGCCAAGAAGACCTAAAGAAGATCCCGAGCAGCGAGCTATGCAAATATTGAGGGAGACCAGCAGAAGGTCGGCGGATGGCAGATTCGAGACAAGGTTGCTGTGGAAAGAAAAGGACCTCCAAATACCAAATAATTACAAAGACGCGGAAAGACGTCTGCACACTTTAGAGAAGAGGCTCGACCGAGACAGCAATCTCAAGCTACAATACGAAGAACGCATACAGAACCTCTTCAACTCGGGTTACGCAGAACGCGCACCCATGCCACCGCCACAAGGAAAGACATGGTATCTGCCACACTTCCCAGTCATCAACCCTGCGAAACCTAACAAGCCGCCGAGATTGGTACACGACGCCGCCGCAAAGACAGCAGGAATATGTCTCAACGATATGCTTCACTCGGGGCCGGACTTATTACAATCATTGCCCGGAGTAATCATGAGGTTCCGACAGTATCCGTATGCAGTGAGCGCCGACATAAAAGAAATGTTTATGCAGATCAAAGTGCGCAAAGAAGATAGAGACGTTTTACGTTTCTTGTGGAGAGGCAAGCGGCGGGAGGGCCAACCGGAGGAATATAGGATGACGTCGATCATCTTTGGAGCGACATCATCACCATGCACAGCACTATACATCAAAAATAAAAATGCTGAAGAACATTCAGAGACATACCCCGAAGCTGCGGTCGCCATAAAAAGAAATCACTATATGGACGACTACTTGCAGAGCTTCCACTCTATCACGGAAGCTCAACAAACTGTAAAAGCAGTCGATCACGTCCACAAACAAGCGGGATTCGTACTCAGCGGGTGGACATCGAACGAAGAAAAAACAATAGAAGAGATAACGACAGAGCATAAACAAAACGACGCGACCGTGCGCCTGGGCGGAAGAGAAACTGAGAAGACGCTCGGCCTGCTCTGGCATGTACAAAGCGATCATATTGGATTTAATACAAACAATATGAAGATGCCGATCGACGTAAAAGAGAAACAACGCTTGCCAACTAAACGTGAAGCGCTGAGCATAATAATGGCATTATTTGACCCACTGGGGTTAATATCACCAGTGACTACCCCAGCGAAGAGAATATTCCAAGACACATGGCGTTACAAGGCGGAATGGGACGACCCTCTGCCAATAGAGTTAAAAGAAAAATGGGAAGACTGGATTACTTCACTTCACGCCCTAGAACGACTGAGAATACCGCGATGCTACGATTACAACCCAGTGTCAACGCGGCAACTACACACATTCGTCGACGCAAGCGAGGAGGCCTACGCAGCCGCCGTGTATTGGAGAACGGAGCGAGCGGACGGCAGCGTCAACGTATCATTGGCCGTCGCCAAGAGCCGCGTGACACCACTGAAACCAGTCTCCATACCACGGCTCGAGTTACAAGCAGCACTACTGGGAGCTCGTCTTGCGCAGACCGTGATTAGTGAGCACGATGACGATATAGCGGGCAAGACATACTGGTGCGACTCTCGCACTGCACTAGTGTGGATAAGGTCGGAGCCCCGCGCATACAAAGCTTTCGTCGCTCATCGCCTGGCGGAGATAGAAGATACGACCAAAAAGAACGAATGGCGTTGGCTACCGTCCAAAGAAAACGTGGCAGACGACGCGACCCGAACCACGCCAGAAAGGTTCGACGAGTCGCACCGGTGGTTCCGAGGGCCCTCGTTTCTACAACGTCCACCGGCCGAATGGCCGCAGGAAGAAAAAACGACACAATACGACACCGGAGAAGAACGAGAAATATGTAACATCGCGGTTAAAAATGAAGACTCGCCAACAACACATCTGCCACAAATAGAAAGATTTTCAAAATGGATTCGCCTCATAAGGACGACAGCGAGAGTCCTCATATTCATCGACATGTGCAGACCAAACAAGCACGTGGTGAAGGCTGGGCGCAAACGCAACAAAGCAAGACAAGATAGCGACCCCGGCTGGCAAAGAACAAACCGACGCAACAACCCCACCAAGGAGAAAAGGGCAACACCTACTGTCTCATCACTTGTAGGAATACCAGCCGCTTATCATATAAGAGCCGAACAACTGTGGGTGCAAGCCAGTCAGCGGGAAAGCTTCGCGAAGGAGCTCAAGAGGATCGCCAACAGAAGTGTTCCAGGAGGTGATGACAAACTAGGCCACCTGAGCACATATATCGACGAAGAGGGGACCCTACGCCTCAGAGGTCGAATAAAAGCAGCATCAGAGGTAGAGGAGGACACGTATGACCCTCCCATACTAGACGGGAAGCACGCATACACTCGTCTGTACATAGCACACGTACACGAGAGATTACATCACGGAGGCGTGGAAACAGTCGTGAACGAATTAAGACAGAGATTGTACATAAGAAAAATACGTCCAGTAGTAAAAACTGTTATCAAAGGCTGCCTACCGTGCCGTCTAAGAAAAGCCAAACCTGCATCACCGTCTACAGGAAACTTGCCGTCCGCGCGTCTCGCTCATCACGCACGTCCGTTTACATACACCGGACTGGACTACTTCGGGCCAATAGAAGTCACAGTGGGACGACATCGTGAAAAACGCTATGGCGCGTTATTTACCTGCATGACGTCACGAGCAATACATATAGAGGTGGCCCATTCGTTAAGCGCCGACTCAGCTGTGTCAGCGCTTAGGCGTTTCATGAGCAGAAGAGGATGCCCAAAAGAAATCTGGAGTGACAACGCTACGTGTTTTAAGGCAGCCGACAAGGAGCTGGCCGAAGCAGCACTCGCAGCCCTCGAGAACGAAACCACATGTCGACAAATTGTGTGGAAGTACATACCACCATCAGCACCATTCATGGGCGGCGCCTGGGAGCGAATGGTTCGCTCCGTGAAAGAAGCCCTACGCGTCACCCTCAACGAACGCTATCCCAGTGACGAGACACTGGTGACCCTGCTCGCCGAGGTCGAAAACACGGTCAATTCAAGACCTCTTACACACGTCTCAGTTGACCCAGGAGACCCGGAAGCCATCACGCCGAATCACATCCTCATCGGTCCCAACTCACATGTACCTGCATCGGGACACTTCAGCAAGAGCGACGTGACGGCCCGCCAGCAGTGGAAACGAGCTCAAGCCCTAGCAGACGTATTTTGGCGAAGATGGGTGAAGGAATACTTGCCCCTACTCCAACACCGGCGGGAGCCCAGCAGCATAGGCGCATCACCAAAGATTGGAGACCTGGTCATCATTTGTGACTCCAATCTACCGCGCAACATCTGGCCCAGGGGAAAAATAAGCAACGTGTATCCCGGCGTCGACGGAGAGGTACGAGTAGTGGACGTAACCACTAGCAGTGGGCATGTACTACGCAGACCAACAAAGAAGATCGTCGTGCTACCAGAGGGATCGCAGCGTGGCGACGGCGGGAGAATATGCACGACGCAAGCGACGAGATACCTGCTTAGTGTAACCAGCACTGGTTGAGCAACTAAGGGGCGGTGGGCGGAGCCACGGGGGTCGCGACCAGCGAGGTTCGACAACTAGCGAGGGTGCATACAACAACACAGAAAAACAGCCGTAGTCTTGGTTATTGTATTTAATTTGTTAAAATTGTATAATTTATATTAATATAAGATTTAGAATAAGATAATAAAGAAATAATGATGTTGTAACTATGCAAATAACTCTCCCAATAAAGGCATCGAATGAATAACGAGAGTTAGCATAGATTTTAAAAATATAAATTGTACTCTTATAGTTAATTTACCTTTGTTGCATATCATCTTTATTGTATACATGTTACCATTCATATAAATTACCTTTCTTAAGATAATTATAACATTATCAGGGCATGTTATTGTGATGCGGCCGCGGAATTAATGAAGCTACGCATAGGGCGTCACAACGTTTTATATTTATAGTGCTGAGGTGCGGGGCAGGGTTCTCAGCTTAAAAATTGTAAATTACAAGGTTTAAAACCTTTTAGAGTGTAAGATAATTATTGTGTACATAATAATATAAGAATTAGATGTAAAAATATTATATAAGTAAATATGATTGTTAATAAATAAAAATTTTAAATAAATAAAGAAAGGCGCGGGGGTGAGGCAAGGGTCCGCTGGCCAGCCGTGGCCGAATCATATAAAAGACGGACCGACCGGTAGGGTCCGTCGTCACTCTCCAGCCACCGAAAAGGCACTGCAAGAAGAATAAAAGTACAAGTTCCTCCTCACCGCCGCTTGCCTCCTATATAAGAACAACGCGTTTTATTCATTTTTTCAAACGGCGTTACGGCGATCCGTAACACATTAATTTCATCATAGGAGCGTGAAAATAGGACAATTCGACGCAGAAATTTGATTACAATGATATATATAACTCAATGTCAACCAGTGTCGCTTGGTAATTTATTCTTTGCCAGCGTCGATATTATTTAGTAAGTGTAAGTAGTTATTAAAGAAAATTAGTAAAGGTTGAAATGTAATTAACAAAACCATTTGAAAATCCTACTAATATAAAGTAAATAATTTGAAAAAAAAAACTCACTGCAGCAAAGAAATGCCAAAAGAGTACTATCGGAGTGCGGTCCACAGGGAACTGCCGAGTCATCTCGGCATGCATGTAGACATGTGCTGCTAAGTTCAAAAGCGAAGAGAATGCCGACGCCGGCTCTTGCACGCCCAGAATTCTTTTAAACGGCCACTGTAATTAAATTAAATTAATAGCTGATAACCTTCCTGAGCTCCACATCATCTCATAGGTGTCGTAAGGGGCAAAGGAGGAAAATGAAATTGGAGATAGGCAGCGGCATCTTCACTGCAACCAACCTATCTGCCATGTGTGGCAACTATGACAAATATTCTCCCTATAAAGATTTTTATAATGACAACATCCTGCCTATACATAAAAGTGCTGCAAATATGATTCTCTTATTATCGACAACAGGAAGTTTTTATACATGGTAGAGCCACCCTGCAGCTATATTATGGTTGTAGCACAAATGGGTCGGCTCGACCGCGGAAGAACCATACTCTCACAGAATACTAGCATAAAATAGCAGCTTAATACTGCTGTTTTAAATGGTGAGTGTAGAGATCCGGAGACCAGTTTTTACTGGAAACGAGGCATTCCATCGTAGTTCTCAGGAGTTACAATGCATCTGCATTATAAAATGAATAATCTTAATCGAGGATAAATGGCGATGTCTATGGGCCACAGTATCTACTTACCATCAGGTAAACTGTGTGCTCATTTGTCATTTTTATTCCACAAAACAAAAAAAATCCACAAAACACTTTCCTGACATATGTCGATGGACTTCTCAATATTTGCTATACTTTCTTATTTTAAGGTCAATCTCACATCCACCATGTTTTCCAACTGCTGAATTGTTATTAATATATGAGATTCAAACCAGTTTCATCACTGCAGTTATATTTAACACAGCTTAGTCTCTGAGACAATTTCTCAAAGAATTTTTGTCGATAAGCTGTTATGTCAAGGTGATAAAAGAGTTCACTTCGGCTAATTCAAGTGTCAAGAGTTGACTAAGCCAATAGCAGAATCTATTAGCATCTAATAGGCAGCATAGTCTTATATTAAAAGTAATAATAATCTTCAATCAATACATAACACAAAATTTCCCTATTAATGATTTATGCAAAGTAAATTATTATACCAATTCTATAACCACTTGGAAGCCAAAATCTTTTTATTTATCAATGTTTACTACACTGGGCCTGAGAGCTGGTGAAAGCTGAGCTGATACTAGCAAATTCTACTCTACTCACCATCACAAGTCTATGAGATAGGTTTGACATTTTCATGTGTCATTTGTTGATTGCCAGATCTTTATTCTCTTTTGTAGCTATTTTGTTTATCTAGCGGTTGTAAGTGCAGTTGCTAATCATGAGATCCTGGGTTCAAATCCCAAGTCGGCCCAAAATTTGTTATTGGGTTCTCTGTCAAGAAATCCCTTGTAACAGCCAGCAGACCAAAAGTTGGCGGTGTTTCATACCCATGCATTGGGAAGCACATAAAGCCATAGATCCTTCGCCACTGCACCCACGTGTGGTGCTATAAAAATTGAAGTGATGTTTTTGCTATGTATTAACTCCACCTGTGTTGCACCCCGCGCACTGCCGATCCCAAGCCCGGGTAAAGGAGGAGGGTTCTTCGTAGGGCCAACAACCCTACAAGGTAAAAACCCAAACGTTCCGAAGTCCAATACAGAAAAATCCAGATTGCTCAAAACCCAACGACCTTGGCAAAGACTTATGGAAAAACAAATTAGCCTGCGAACCGGTACATGAAATGTGGAAGAGGATCTCAGGAAGATGGGCAAGTTTACCAGCTGGAAGAAGGTAGCCAGGCAGCATGAAACTAGAGGAAGATTGTGGAGGAGGCCCACAAAGGGTTGTAGTGCCAACGGAAGACGTTTTTGCTATGAAAAAAGAATTCTGAGGACCAGCCATACTTGTAAGGAAAGTTTAGCCCCAACAATATGACAATTTGGTATAATATCCAGAAAGTCAATGGATGTAGTTGGCTCAGAACCATGCTTTGTATCATTCCTTAGAGACCTATTTTCAACAGTGAAATTGTTATGGGCCATATGATGATGATGATGATGGACTAACATATTCCTATTAAGCATTATTTTTTATTCATTAATTTATTTTTATACTTGCTTGCCAAGCAGACGTTGTTCTGCCCTTTTCGATGACCTTTATGCACTATTAACCTTCGGCAAGCAACACTTTTTTTTACATACACAAATGGCAACAGAGGTGACGTATCACCCCATATTTTTTAAATTCAAATTAAACTGCAATGTTTGTCATTAACCAAACCAAAAATAAAACCAAAGTTATTTAGTTAGTTAGTTAGTTTGCGACGGGCTGTTTTCCGCAACTCCACGTCTATGCGCGTATTTTGCGTGTGGGCAGGAATAATGTTCGAGCCATGAGATCTCCCCGAAGAAGCTCAGCAGTCCCTTGATGTTGCATGCAACTTCGGGGAGTGATCCCGGCGTGCCGAGATGTTTAGCCCTGTACGTAGCGACCTCCGGACATTTCAGTAGCACGTGGGCCGCCGTTTCTTCCTCCCCCATACATGCCCTGCACAGGGGACTATCTGTAACACCTATAGTAAATAAATGTTTGTTAAAGGTGCCATGTCCTGTGATAGCACTTGTTACTATCCTGATCTGCGGCTTGTTCAGTCTCATTAGAACTTTGGTTAAGCGACTGTTTATTACAGGTAGGGCCTCCCTAGCTTGTCTACAGTCTACTAGATTTTTCCAAAGCTGAACGTGTTGATTAGTGAAGTGTCTACGTACCATTGAACGAATGTTACCAAAGGGGATCGGTATGATTGGTTCCGGCCCTATAGTGGCCAGAGCCGATCCTCTTCTGGCCAGTTTGTCTGCTGCATCGTTGCCTCTGGATCCACTGTGTACCTTTATCCATTGCAGAGTCACATTGTTGTTTTTACATACCTCATTTAATCGTTGATGGCATTTATATATTAGTCCTGAGTTCACCCCATTGCAACTCAGAGCTTGTAGTACCGCCCTACTGTCGGTCAGTATTCTGATGGGGAAGTCATTAACCTTTCTAGCATCTATTGCTATGGCCGCTTGAATGATACCCATACATTCCGCCTGAAAGACCGTGTTATAGGTACCCAGCGGTGTGCATATATGAATATTGAGGTCTTCAGAAAAAGCTCCAGAACCTACACCTTCATTTGTTTTAGAACCATCGGTGAAAAGTCTAAGCTCTTTTGGGCTTAATCCTTCCGGCTGGCTGTTTTCATTTAATTGTATCTTGTATTTCTTATTGAAAACGAATTGTTTAGGAATTCTATCGTATTTGGCTTGTAGGATAGAAATTTCTGAGTGAATTCTATCAATTATGCCTGTATAAGGGACACTATTCTTACTCCAAAGATTTAGGGTCTTGAGTCTGATGGCAGCTAAAGTCGCTTCTTGTTGTGTATGTAGATGAAGCGGAGTTAGCTCCAGCATCGCTTCCAAGGCTGCTGTTGGCGTAGTTCTTATGCAGCCTGTGGCAGCCATACATGCCAGTCTCTGGTAGCGCTGAAGCTTCTTAATTGTGGTGACTTCATTTGTCTTGATCCACCATACCAGAGCGCCGTATGTGATCATGGGCCGAATTACAGTTTTGTAAAGCCATAGTATGATTTTTGGCGTCAGTCCCCATCTTTTACCAATCATGTTTCTGCATTGCCAGAAAGTTATACTAGCTTTGTTGATTTTGTTTTCTATGTGTTTATTCCAGTTAAGTTTGCTGTCCAAGGTAAGACCTAAATATTTTAGCTCAGAGGATAGCTGGAGTTTTGTGCTGAAAAGACTTGGAAGATGATAGTTATTCAGCATTCGTTTTTGTGTGAACATTACTAAAACCGTTTTATTTGGGTTGACGGTTAACTCGTATTCCCTGCACCATCTCTCCACTATATGGAGAGCCGCTTGGGTCAGGTCGCACACTATGCTTGCTGTCTTTCCCGAGACCAGTATTGTCAGGTCATCAGCATAACCTACTGTATAGAAGTGATTAGTATTTAATTTGCCAAAGTTATTTATTATGAGATCATTGATTGAAACTACTTTTACGGATTTTATCGCGTTTTATTTATATTAATGTTAATACCCGACGTTTCAGGTGCTTTCCAGCACCCATGGTCATGGGGAACTGAGGTGACTGACGTCCCGATGTCAAAGTTAAACTGCAGACTTCCCGGAATGTTGATGCTTCACATCAGCTATGTGTATGCAGTTTGCGATCATATTCTAGATGACCCCAACCATTACATCAGATTTGATAGACCACAAATCCTCACAAAAGAACATTGATTCCTACCAAGGATGACACGTGAGGCTATTGAAATTAAAAAACATCCTAATTTCAATAGAGAAGGAGGCTGCGTACTACCACCTGCTTGGGATCCTATAATTAATAAAATTAAAACTAAACCCAAGCATACCACTGCAAGACTTCCAAATACAGTTAGTTCATTCTGCGTAGATCGGACCAAAGACAATAATTAAAAAGCTGAAGGTACTCCAGGTTAACTTTGACATCGAGACGTCAGTCACCTCAGTCCCCCTTGACCATGGGTGCTGGAAAGCACCCGAAACGTCGGGTATTAACATTAATATAAATAAAACGCGATAAAATCCGTAAAAGTAGTTTTAATCAATGTACTATACATGTTCGCGTAAATATAAGAAATCATTATATTATGAGATCAATCGCTAACATAATTAGGAATATGAAAATAGTGTTTATTACAGCACCGATAGTTTGGTATTATTTTTTTTTTCATTAAATGCAGATCAAGAAAATGTCTTCGCGATTTTCAGAGCAAGCGGGCTGAAGGTATTTTTTGCCAAAAGTTTTTAATTTTTTGTCCCGTTTTCTTGGACACTGTGCACATCTTGCTTGTTTCTGCAACTTTGCACGGCGCTTACCTTCAGGAGGGTCCTGGGTTATATTTCGAATATCACATAAAGTGACTCCTAATTCTCGTGGCAAATTTGTACTCACTCATGTGCGGTTGCGCCAATTGTAAACCTAATTTATTTAAACAACTGCTTCGGATCATGTTGCATGAGTATTCTAATGTTTAGCGTCAATATAAAGCAACATAGAATAGACACCAGCATGATCCAGCATACCATAGAATTATCAAAGCGGCCTACGTCTGATATTGCTAGCCGAACTATATGTATACACTATTTTGTTGAAAGTATCGACTCCACATACAAAGTTACAAACATGCAAATAGTTTCGATACTGTTCACTCCAATTAGAGAATAGATCAAGCATTACAGTCAAAAACAACACCAACAAAATATTTTAACTTTTTTCGAATAGTGGGGTGATGGGTCACCCCTGTTGCCTTCCTAAGGTTAAAAATCCTTAAATTCACAAAAAAAATTTGTGGTTCACTCAAGGGCAAAAACTATCTTATCTCTCAAGTTGGACCAAACTGCACACGGTGTGCAAATTTGATTAAAATCGGTTAAGCAGTCCATCGCGGACAAACAATGTGACATGTAATTTATATATATTATGATAAAATGGAAGTGTCTGTTTATAATATCTAAACAACTGCCTATAATTGGGCTGAGGAATTTATATGCATGCCATAATTATTATGTAATTGTTTGTCCGTTTGTTTATTTATTTATTTATTAATTCTTTATTGCATCCTTAAAACAAAAGAACACAAAGGGTGTATTTAATGCCTTGAGGCATTCTCTACCAGTCAACCCATGGAGTGATGAGAATTTCACGTAGGTGTGACAATATAGTTGCTTGTTAGTATGTGATCTTCAGATTGGCTTAACCAACTGTAATGAAACTTTACGACAAGGCTATATCTTATATTAATATTAATAAAAAGAATCATTGAAATTGGTTCAGCCGTTTCCGAAAAATCAATGATCATACAACAATAAAATATACAGTCAAAATCTTAATATATACATATTAAGATTTTGACAAATGGTGGTAGCTCTTGTGCAACCAATTTCACTTCACTCCATTTCATCTAGCGGGTGTTTTTAGTTTACTTTGGAAAATGCTAGAACAATCTTGAGAAGGCTTCTGATAGAGGGATATAACCACCTTCTTTACATCGCACATAAAATACTCAGGCTGATGACAGGTTGCAGCATCACAGGTATAAGACATCTGGTACTACAATCTACTTGTTGTTGCTGCTGCTTGGACATAGATTAGGCTGTAATGATTACAATGAGGATGATGATAGGATTATTTAGAACCTATTACAAAACAACAAATTTTTATCAATGTTCTGTAAAATCTAAAATGTCAAAATCATGCTCAAATAATCATGATATTCCTGTCCACACACAAAATACACGTTTAGATATGAAATTGCAGAAAATAACCCATGGTAAAATAAACTACTCTAATATCAAATTCATTGTTGTTAAAAAATTAAATGAGTGTTAACCTTGCCATGAAACTTTGGTATTTGGTAACCCCTTTCTTGAAAGCCCTGCACTGTACGCCACATACAATGGTAACGGCATTCATCTCTACAGTTCCATAAAAATATCTGACTGGACAACTCAAGTTGCTTAGCTGCACTTGGTGTAAATGATCTTCCCCCTGAAAATATACAATTTAATTTTAACATGAAACCGATACATTAGGCTTTGACTCTTGAACACTCAGCTTTTTTTGTGATAGTGTTTAATGTTTTTAATTCAAAGTATCAAAATTATCTATTTCTCTAACAACAGTGCATAGTATCTTTACCTTTAACTCCAATATAAGCGATCATCTAAATATTGATCAAGCAATTATATAAACAGCCCATAATTTTTTATTTTTTCATTGTCTATACCTTAAAATTATATTTTTCCCACCGCCCCAATTTTCTTAAATAATATGTTTTATTTACATAAATAAACTCCACATTTGATTTGAATTAAAAGCATAAAAATATTGCTTACCATCAGTACAATTAGCTTTCAGGCAACTCTTTACGCAGTTTTGATAAAAAGGCGATCTATCTCCTTCGCTAGTTAAAATGTATGGAAAAATATTTATTAAAATAATAAAAATAAAACTTATTTTATTAACATTAATAACCACTTCCATATTATTTAATTCAAATAACCGCAAGCGGTATTATGTGTATATTTTCACCATTTTAATTTTTGATATAAATATGTATGTACCTACTCAAACTCAAAGTCTCAAATTATAACTTCCGGTTTTCAAAAGTACCACAGAGTACTTTTTTATGCAAAAGTACTCTGTGATTATTTCGTTTTCATTTCACAATATTTTTTAGATTTTTAGCTTGGATGCATGTCTTTTAAGCCACGGCTTTATATCATTCGGTATCTTCGTTTTTATTTATTATTTTCTTCACAATATGTTGAAGCACCACGTTGTGAAGTTTTTGGAAGACATATCAACTAAGCGGACAATAGATAATGACAGTTACTTAAATTCATAAGGAGCCCAAGCGATCAAAATAACTTGAGGTTTATATCAACATCGAAGCCCTTTTTTCGTCATTTTTTCTAATCGTTCACATGCGCAGACACTTAATACATCTTTTACCAATCATGTTAATTAAAGATTTAAAAAAATAAAATTCATCACTTTATTTTTTTAAATCTTTATTAAGAATATGCTGCTGCCCATCTTCTGGTTTGTTCTCTTCTGTAACCTCTTACGACACATACGGGTGATATGGGGAGTGGATATTTTTACATTGCCATTACACGGAACGGTAAAGCCATAAAATAAACTAATTATAATATTGTTATTCATCAGTATTATTTCATTATACTCGTAATATCTCAAAGCCCACATAAAAAACTTAAATGAAAATTGTTTAGATGTCACATTGTTCATCTTACTTATTACCTATAATAGCCACAAATCTCGGACCACTAAAGTTAGCCCCCCGAATTTTTTTATTTTCAAATTAAATTTTTAGCTACATACAGACGTACCTGTAATTCGCATACATCAATGCTACGCTCGAAGCAGTTCCTTTAAAAATACCTGTACATCTGTATAATTATGTAGCTAAATAAAGATTGTTAATTAAATCAAAAATATATATATTTTTGATAGAATATACGTATTTAATCAAAGAACAAACATTAATGAATATATAATAACAATAGAAATTATAAATTGGAGTATGGGGAGGGGGAAAGCTAACTGTAAGGCAGATTTTTCATGAATTTTTTATAAATGAATTATTGACGAAGAAACAATTATTGATAGAAAACAATCAAGAACAAACCACGAACTAACGATTTGTGTTCTGTGGTCACAACTATAAAGATTATACTTAATATTTGGTGTTTTATTAGCTACATGAAAAGTTTCGATCATACTCTGAATATATTGGCGTATAGACGATCTGACAATTTTTATTTGTCATTGAGTGCGTCAGCTAGTGATGTACATTTTATTATTTATTTAAAACTTAAATGTAACACCTTAAGCTAAAGGGTTCATAGGGCTGACTCAATGCATTTATTAAAACCTATATACAATGTACATGTATATAAAATATGTTTGAATAATATATAATGAAATAAATAGTTGAAGTAAAAAAAGAAGAAAAAAGAAAAGAATAAAGGAAAAGTAACGTCAATTAGTTGTTGCCCTCAGATAATGTTGTCATAGAAGAACTTTGAAGACTTTCTTATTTGTGGCATTCTTAATATAATTGTTTGGTTTTCTAAAGTTGTATAGCTTGTATCGTAAAAGACGACCTAAAAATTAGACTTATGCTGTGTGGAAACCTTAACCTCAGACGGTTTGATTGTCGGGATGTTCGACTGTTATTCGAATGAAGAAAAAAAAATTAACCTTAAGATGAGAAGGCGAACTTGGATCATTTACGTTTACGATTGAATAAAGTATAATTACCGCCACGAGTCGTGAGCACACTTTTTATTGGTCGATATGACGTTGACCACGCTGACGCTCAACGTGATTGGTTTGTCAGCCGATTCTTGTCGTCTATTGGGTTCGCACGTATCATTCGACTACCGTACACTTGAAAGCAATTTTAGTGACAACTTTTTAATTAGTTTATTTTTGTTAATCGTTTATTTCTTGTTTTTAACTGTTTTTGATATTTCTTGTTCTTAATTTTTTTTGTTATAATTTGAGCATTCAGATTTTGGGCTAAATATGCAGAGAAGAAAGAATTCGGTGTTAAATAGACAATCCCGACAAATGGTCTATTCAGTGTTTTGTTACATGAAACAATTAGGTATTGCGAAAAACATAATAGACGTTTATAAACAGACTGCTAAGGTGACTAATGTCTTCGTAGCTACTGTACGTCATATAGTTAAAGGAGTTAACGACTCAGAATTTCGAAAAAAAGTCAGCGAAAATATTCAATTATGAATTGAAATAACAACGGTACCTAATAATTTTGGCCGACAGTGTACCTTCGCTGGCTCAACCCCCACCATAGTTTCGTTCACTTTTCAGTGCCGGCAACTATACAAGTAAAATTCCAGAGCATTGCCTTTGACGTATAGGTAGCCATTTAAGCTTTGAACGATAGGATGATATGTGGTCATACTTACGTAATCCAAATATAAACCTTATGGAATTATTAATAAGGCGCTCCAACTTGTTTAGAAGATTTTCTGACAGATCTGGGTAAAATACATCTGCGTAATCGATAATAGGTAGAATGAGCTAATGAACCAGCGTAAGCTTAGTTTTGAAAGGTAAGAAATTTTTAAGATGATAAAGGGAACGCAAGGTAGCAACAACTTTACGACTTACTTCAGAAATCTGCAATTTCCAGCCAAGATTTTTTATGGAATCACAATGGCTGGTTTAACAGATGGGCCATGTTTACACGACCCTTCTCTTATGGCTCCCAGGTTATCATTTAGGTTGTGTATTACAAAGTTAAGATTATTTAAGCCTGTTTGTATATAGAGGTGAAGAAAGCCAGACTGTACGTAGAGCTGAAGATCATCCACATACAGATGGTACGAACAATCTAAAACTGAGGTGATAGAATTTATAAATAAGTTAAACGTAACAGGAGAAAGTATTCCGCCTTGCAGTATCTCAGATTCAATTTCAGCCTGCGAACTGATTGCTGACGACCGCGAATATAAGAAGACCATTCCAAGGCTGGTGATGAAAATTTAAGGTGTTTAAGGATACATAGGAACCATGATCTACTGTGTTAAAAGCGTTTGAAAAGTCAATAAGCACCACCACTGTTAATTTCTGTTCATCCAAGCCCTTTCTTATATCGTCTGTGACTTTGATAAGCGAAGTGGTAGTGCTGTGACCAGAGCAAAACCCCGATTGAAATTCATTCAGCAGGTTATGTTTTGCAGTGAATACAGATATTTGCTTAAAAACAAAGGCTTCCAGAGCTTTTGAGAGGTATTTTTGGGGGTGTGGGGGGGTGGGGGTTTTGGTTATGAGTATTATTTTTTATATTTGTAGGGGGGGGAGAGGGGGGGGCTTTGGATTTTTTGGCTTTTTTGTTTTTTTTTATTTTTAAGGGGAGGAGAAGAAGGAAAGGGGGGGGGGGGGGGGGGTTGGTGTTGTTGAGGAGATTAATTTAATGGGGTGGGATAGAAAATTAAAAAATTAAGAGGGGGGGGGTGTTGTGAATTTTTTTTTTTTTTTTTTTTTTTTTTTTTTTGCTACAATTAACAACTCAAGACAAATTAGAAATACCTTGTAGCAGCCAGGCTAATCGACAATAAATAATATACACCCTGCTGCTACCATAACACAGAAGGCGAAGAAAACATTTATTTCCTAACTATCCCCGGCTACTGAGATACTGCGGGCTGCATATTGATGCGAGATAATTTGACGTATATATTTAACGTTCTAATAAGAAACAAGAGACAGCCGCAAATATCATTCAGCGCCACATCGTCCTCATACGCCGCTATCGTTATGTATCCGTCGACCATTTTGAAGCCGTTTCTTCAACGCCGCAGCTCGCTTCTTCTTGCTGTTTCGGAGCTTTGTCCCACGCCGCCGCCGCTCGCCGACTACGCGCGCGCGCCGGCCTGCACAACTTTTATAGCCCAGTTCAGCGACGTAGATACGAGAAGATAGCACGAGTCTCACGCCGGCAAATGGAACGTACATAATAGTTGTATTTTAAATAATCTTAATTGGTCATAATGTATGTAATGTAATTGGCTAGGCAAATAAAAATTGCTACTATTTGTTAACTAACGACGTAGCCGGACGTATAAATATAGGCTGGGTCGACGTAAAATTCATTCCATATTCCATATTCAATACTTGATACACCAGTCGTATGCACATAAATAGTGGTTTCATTTCTCCGCCACTAGACCACTCGGAGTCTGTTAATAGTGGACCGTTTATCCCCACTATTTACACTTAATAATAATAAATAAATTATTTAATATTATAATAACCCTTTTTATACAAACTTAGTTCAGTAAAATTTTTGAACTTTGCGTATGACAAATTTTGTATATTTTCTGGGATTTTGTTGTAAAAGTGTATACATCGCCCCAAGAATGAATTACTAACACGGTGGAGTCGAGTAACTGGTACTACTAGCTTGTGTATATTCCCAGTATTTACAGAATGAATATCACTTATTTTTGCAAAACTAGTGTTATTTTTGTGTATGTACATTAAATTTTCATAAATGTATTGAGAGGCCAGAGTTAATATATTAATTTCCTTAAATTTTTGTCTGAGTGACTCTTTTGGTTTTAAATTATATATTGCTCTAATGGCCTTGCCCTAAAGGGGGATGAGTCGCTCGCGTCCGTAGGCTTCGACCACCTAACCTTAGGCCCACCCTACACGTGTCCCCCGGGTGGTGCTAAACGAGCGACAAAGCCGAAAAAAATAGACTCGGCTCCTCGCCGTATGGTAGCGGCGTAAAATCTACCACCGCCCCTTGTTCGTACCATGACTCAGAAAATAAAAGAAATGGCCCCGAGTTCCCGGCGCCCCTTCAATGGGGCAGGGGTGCGAAGAATTTCCGGGAGAAAAACCGGCGACGAGGTTCGCCACCCGTCACGTTTTGTCTCCCGGAGGGGCGAAAAGTGGATTGCGCAAACCCGTCTGGCTACGCTGAATGTATGTGGAGGAATGAATGATAAGATGGATGAAGTATGCGAAATGATGAATGACAGAGGAATAGATGTGTTATGTGTGAATGAGACGAAACGAAAGGGAAAGGATGCCACTGCACATGGCACGTATACCGCGTATTGGTCTGGTGTAGACGAGACCGAACGGGCATGCCAGGGAGTCGGTTTCATCCTTTCAGAAAGAATGGGTCAATGTGTGAAAGAGTATGATTGTGTAAGCCCGAGGCTGCTATGGATACGAATGAAAGTGGGCTTAAAGAAGCTGTTCCTGCTAGGGGTGTACGCCCCAGAAATGACTAAGCCCACTTACATCCGAGAGCAGTATTGGGACATGGTAAGGATTGTGTTGACAAAATGTAAGGAAAATGAAAATATTACTATGTTAGGAGACTTTAATGGAAGGGTTGGGGTGAAGAGGTCTGGTTATGAAAGGATATTGGGAACGTGTGGTGATGAAAGTATAAATGAGAATGGTGAAGACCTCCTCACCGTATGTGTGGAAAAGAATCTTTTTGTGACGAATACTTTTTTTCGTCATAAGAAAATTCACATGTATACATGGGAAAGAGGTGATGATAGAAGCATGATAGATTTCGTAATTGTGGATGAAAAAATGAGGAGCGCAGTCGTAGATACAAGGGTTTACCGGGGTTCCAACGTAGGTACGGATCATTACTTGGTCTTATGTCGAATTAATGGTCTTTTCAAGCGGCGGCATCGGACATCTGTGTCTACCACAGCGTTACAGCGTATAAGAATAGAGAAGTTACAAGATGAAGATGTGAAAGAGAAGTATAAATGTAGACTGAGAGGAAATATTAGATGTTTGAATGAGTTGTGTATGAATGATTTAGACTTAAATACTGTGTGGGATAATATTAAGAAAGGTTTGGTGGATGCCGCCACTG